CGTACTTTGTTCATTTATATTTGCACAATATACATTTTGACCTTCATTTCTCGACCACTCTTGTCCTAGTTTTTGACATAAGTCACGTTGAGCATTCGTCTCTGTTATAGTAGGAGTAGGACTTAATTCGGGTGGAGTAATTGTTATTTCCGGGATTTTCCTATACAAAGTGTTTTGTTTATTTGTATTTGAATGTTCAGACGTTAAAGTACTTTTAACGGAACAATGTTTATGTTTTCAATTTCTGGTAAACTAACATTTATCAGGTTTGTGTTTTCAGTGTTTTCACTAATTTGTGAACACTGTGTGTCACATTTTGTCATAGTAATGTCACATATTGGCCTAGTATTTTTACAAATGACTGAAGTTTTGGCCACAACCCCAGTCCGGTCTAGTTTTCCTGTAAGGGAGCATTTTGTTTTAGAAAGCAACGGCTCTCAATATGGCCTTTCCTTTTACAAAAAATACAGAAAATATCTCTACGCTCTTTGAAAAAACATTGACTTTCTGTATGTCCCAGTTTATTACAATATGAACAGGAAATATTCCTAGAATTATTCCTTAAATTCCTATTTGGGGAATGATTTGGGGATCTATTCTGAATTCCTACTCGTCTGTTATTGTGTGGAGATGAATCTGCACGTGAATTACGTGAAGGGCTATTTTGACTTGATATGTTTTGTTTCTTTATAACATTATCCGAGTATTTGTTTTCAAGCATAGACATTTTTTCATTAAACTTTTGTTCAAGTTTTTGATCTAACAAAGAAGATAACATTTGCTGTAAATCTTCAAGATTACAATCAGTTTTCATATTTGATGGCCTAAGGGAAGAAACTATATTTTCTTTCAATGGAAGAGAAGTCCCCCTTGTCATCTACGGGTTTTGATCTTTTATCAAGTGACCCCTGTAACGCAGCATATTCTACCGCGGCACTTATAGCTTGATCTAAAGTAGTTGGATGTAAAAACTGTACATGTTTTTGTAACTCAAAACTACCCAAACCATGAATGTACTGATCAATGATACAAGATTCGAGTGCCGTATGGGGCATTAAAGGAAATGCTTTCTGTCCTATAAGTCTTAATGCATATCCATAATCTGATACAGACTCCCCAGAATTCCTTTTCCTGTTTCGGAATTCACACCTATATGCCAATTCCCGTTCTTGTGGACTGAACCTTTGAGTCAGGGCTCGTTTTAATGTTTTAATTCATTATAATCAGTTAACTGAGGGGAACTTAATGTAGAGAGTAAGCGTTGGGCTTCCCCCCTTAAATTGATGGATAACATGCATGCCTTTTTTTGCTCATTCCATTCATTCCAGGAGGCAACACGTTCAAAATGAATTATATAATATGTTCATTCAGTGGTAGAATCATCGAATTTGTTTGGTTTTATGTTTCTATTTGTGTTTGAATGAGTACTAGTATGATTCCATGTGTATTATAATTAAATACTGGCATGTTACTAGGCATGGGCATATAGCTTGACTGTGTATGAGGTGTCATGTATGCAGCATTTGTTTGTATACACTGTTGAGATGTCTGTCCCATATTTGTATTATACATATGAGGTAATGTATGCGTTAATGGTGTTTGATAAGTGCTGATGGTGATTGGTGTAGTAAATCTCCTGGTGCTGTAGTCAAATGAAGTGAATGCTTAACATCACTATATTCTCTTATAGTAACTATTGGTACTGTGTAAGATTTATTTTGAGAAATTGTATCTTCCTCTCTTTCATAATTTACTGAACGCATTTGTGGGATAAACCTTCCTAGGCGCTGATGTTGTGGTCCATTGTTTGAATTAGATAAAACAAAGCCATCACTGGTTCGTAACAACCCTTCATTACTACCCTTAGAAACTAACGGTGACTGTACATGTGTACGCGTAGGCATATCTGAATTATACCTGTTATAAATAATTTGTTCAGGTGTATTCAAATGTCCCTCAATTTCAGTTTTATGGATAGGGGAAAACACAAATTTTTCTTTCAAATATGGAGACCTTAATTTATCATCAAAAGATTCACTATACCTTTGTAAATGTGCTGTGTCCCTTTGCCTTGTATTAGAAGGAAATGAATCTACATAAAGTGGTGAATGAGTGTTTGAAATTCTCGTGCTAGGTGTAGTCAGAATGCTAATATTAATGTTCAATTCATAATATTCCATCCTAAAACTGCTTTCCAAAATTACAAAAAATACTGACCGATTTTCTTTTTTTGTTTAAAATTTTTTTTTTTAAGACATAGTATGTTATTTTATAGTTTTCTAATTTACTTTAAACTATGTATTTATTATTTTTATGTTACTAAATTACAAATATATCCTATGTATTTTTTTTTTAAACTTCTAAATTTTAATTTACCCTATTTTATTCCTTATTTTAATTTTATCTCAGATTTATATTATTATTGTATTGAATAGTCCAACATCTATACACATCTTCTGAATAATGCCCTATATAATTTCTTCCATTTATACATGTATTTCAGATTTGCAATGTCTGTACTTTGTTATACTAGTACACAAGACAATGAAAATAATAACAAGAAAAAGAACACACTATATAAAGTCACCAGTTATGAAACCAATGTTATAGTGCAATATAGATTGAAAATGAGATAGATTCTCAAATTACTACACGTAGTAATATTTAGTACAATTCACAAAGTATGTACTAAACAATACACAAATTTTGTAGATCTACATGTATATAGGCATGTCATCACTGTAAAAGTTGTATTATTTATACAATACAAACTAAAATTAATTTATATATGACTTATATACATGTATGGTCTCTATGCAAGCACTGAATTCTATGGTCACGGCACCAATGTAATAGTGGTCAGGTTCTAATGAGAATCAATGCTTTACACGGAGACCAAACGATCACAAGTTATAACTGGAGTAAATTCTCAGGGCTCAGTAGATTTATATGTAAGTGTCACTTTATAAAGATGATGGACTAAACAACAACAACTAGTAAATACAATTTCAATCAATGCTTTTAATATATGAAAAGCCCTAACAAATTGAATGAGTATACAAATCAAATTATATTTAGTTTTATATAAAGAATAACTATATCTATTATTTTATTAAGATTATGTTTATGATATATTTTATATGTGGTCGATTATAATAAACGTAAACGTTTGTATTTAGGACTAAGTCCAGTTTAATGTTTCAAGGCTAAGCCTTGTTGTACTGACCAGAGTAGGTACAGTACCTAACCTAGCTAACATTGCCAAAGTCAGCTTATTTATACAATTCAGTATTCACTGCAACAATTTGATTGGTTGAGAATGATAATGTATATACCATGCAATAAGTAAGAAAGATAGTAACTCTTAACTGTTAACTTAGATTACCGTAAATACCCATCCTATTACATTTACATCCCAACTATACAAACCCACAGAATACATGTTCCTTATTACGGCCAAATTGTGATCGCTATATGTCCGAACGAATCTCATTTAAAACTGCCACTATTACAGTTAGGAAGCTATCAAGAAAGTTTACGGGGGATCGGTGTTTCCAATCAAGTACCCGTTTTGTTCCTGATAATAATAACAATATGCACAAATTGGTTACCGAGGTTTTTTACACCAGTAAAGCTTAAAAGTCGTCAAATGATATTATTAGTGCCGATCTGATTTCAAACCTTGCCAGAACAGAATTTTAAGATGTACAGGCTAATTACATTTCTGAAAGTTAAATGTTGAATGCATTGTGACACCTGGTGTAGAAGTTCGTTTTTATATTGATATATTCATTAAATCATTCTCAAAGGTAGCTACTGATTTTTTTGCATTTTTTTTGCCTGTAATTCAGTCAAAGTTTTGTCTTCTTCTGAATATTAATTTTGAAAAAAAAACTTAAGAAAGTCAATGAGTTTGCATATAATTGGTAATTACATTTATTAAAAAGGAGCATGCTTTTTAAGTAAAGGTTATCAATTCAAAATTATGTTTTTAAGAATTTTTTTCCGTTCTACCTAAAATATAGTTCATCATAAAATAACTATCAGTATAGTTTTCACAGATCTTATTAGTTCAGATGTATATGTCGCAGGGTCATATTGATGTATTAATGTTAGATGTTATTTGTAAATGTATGTCCCGTATTGTACACCGTAGATTATGTGAAGTCCTATATTTGTGTCCTTTTCCTATATTCCATACATTCATCCTTTTATTCATTTACTCATTCATTCATTTCTTCATTCATTCATTTATTAACAAGTATGTTCTAACCATTGGTACGGGCCTCAATCTTAAATATTCTATTTCCGCACTAAGTACCTTCACGCATGCGCACTCCTACTGAAGATTTTCATGGCGCGAGCCAGATTTCGTATTCATCGATAATTAATATTTTCTGAGAGCGTATTTCTGTATTTTTATAGGTAAATATGAATGTCTGTATTGATCCCATACTTGTTATTCTACATTTTGCCATTCATGATTTTATGTCATTTGTCATTATTTTGTATTTGCACTCCTACTGAAGATTTTCATGGCGCGAGCCAGACTTCGTATTCATCGATAATAAATATTTTCTGAGAGCGTATTTCTGTATTTTTATAGCAACCCTCAAGCCCAGAACCTCTTAGCAGCACCTTTCCCATATCGTAAGAGTGGACTGCGACAAATGGCGCCCAACGTGGGGCCGTGACTGAATACAGATTAGAGTTTAATTCACATTGCTCTGTAACTATGTGAAATTCGAGGACGCATTTCTATATAGCAGGGGGAGTATGTCACGGTTCAAAGCTGTTCACTATATAGGGGAGAAAATGTGTAAGCGGCCGGATAGCTCAGTCGGTAGAGCCGCGGTACGGTATTCCGAGGGTCCCGGGTTCGAGTCCCGGTCAGGCTGCACATTTTTCTAACCCTGTGACATATATATTTTGTTTCCTTTGATTTTAATCGTATCGAATTCCATTCAACGGTAATGTTTAGATTTTCTTTCCATTTTTAGCAAAGCAGAAGTTTGTTGAGGAAAATACGAACTTTCAATATTCTAGATGCAAACAAATATCGGACAATGTCTTGTGCGAGGCGCTTAATATAAGCAAAGGTAAAAAATAAATATGTATACGTTTACATGTATCTATTTAAAGTACATTTCAATTTTATTATTCCTTATTTGTTTTGCGTGTTTTTGACCTTGTACACAACGTCAATTATCTTTTATTTTTATAATATTGTGATGAATCAATATGTGTTATTAGATTTTGAAAACTAAAGGATAAGATATGCGTTATAGATAAAGATATTATATATAGGTATATCATATAACTAAAAGACATCTTAAGTTGAATAGTCACGGTGAAGCTCGTGCTATTGACACGAATGATCTGAACCGCATTGGCTTGAATATATTTCCCTAGCAGTACAATATAAACTATATTATTATTGTTATTTTAATGAAATCTAGGTTGAAAAAAAAAACACTAAAGATTAATAGTTTTGACCAGTTGCCCAACCTTCTACAAATAAAAATACAATGACCCTTTTGTTTAACAGGGTCAGAGGACAAGGCAAGTCTATGGCCTCCGGGTCCATTTGCAATTCCTATGTCACAATACGGGTGTCCAGAGTCTGAGAGTCGTGGATGGACACAGAGCGTATTAGATATGAGAATTAAAAAAAATAAACATGCAAAGCAGAAGAAGAGCCAAATAAAGCTATGTGTTAAAGTGCGACATGATACTAAACTAGACACAGAAAGTTGGATTCCTGGAAGATATACAATTTACAAGATTGGAGAGAAATGCCCGCCAGGTTTTCTTTTTTATTTTATTTATGATAACAAATAACATACAGTACGATATGACACGCTCTGTTATAAACACCTTATATTATGAAATTGGTTTTTACAAAGATATCTTCAAATGAATAAAAACCTCTGTTCATAGAAAACACTGTTTTTATGCTTCCCGAAGGGTGAACATACAGTCGCCATTTTGTCAGTCCGGATGTATTTTCGTCTTTTCTTGTCCGGGACATAACTCTGAAACAACATATCGGCGTATAATGTTGTGCACCTGATTGTCCGTCCGTCTGTTTACTGGTTTCGTTCCGGTCTGTAACTTTTGAAACGGTGGAAGGAAATTGAAACTAAATGTTTACAATATTGAGACGATGTGCAGAGCGCAGAGTTGACCTTTCTAAGGTCAAGGTTAAGGTCAAACTAAGTCATTTTGTATCAATTTCAAAATCAATTGTGTCCGCTCTGTTACTTTTGAACAGATAGAAAGAAATTTAAACTTTTTGCAGAAAAAATACATATAATGAGACGGTTTGAAGAACACAGGTTCGGGCTTACTGAGATCAAATTTGACCCCGTCCCGGGGATTAATTGATTTATATACTTACATAGGAGTTTTCGTGTCTGGTCTATATCTTTTGAACCAGTGGAAGAAAATTGAAACTACTTTGCAGAAATGCTAACCACAATTAGACCATGTGCAGAGTGAAGGTTGGCCTTCCTCAGGTCAAGGTCACATTTAGTTATTTTGTATCAATTACAATATTCTTTATCTTATAAACCGATTGTAGAAAATAAATAATTTTGGCAGAAATAAAAATATTACTGAGATGATGTGCAGAGCGCAGGTGTGAACTTTCTCGGGTCATGTCCAATGTCACACTCCTTACAAAGGGAGATTACAATGTATAAATTTATCAATATGTTTCCTCACAATATATATGCATGTTACCTCCCTTTATTTTAAAACATCTTTCCTTTTATACTTTTTTATGTATCAAACTACATTTTTATATTTTGTTCTGTTAAGATTAAAATTAGTGGGTGGATCATAGGTTTATGTGATTTAATTATTTTTAAATAAGATATTCTTATTATTTAAAGTGATGTTACTTAAGATATGCAAATATGAAAGAAAAAGGTAGTTTGTGTGATGCCAGATATACAGAAGCTGTCCGGACTACTTCTCAAAAATAAACTACTGGTGCAATTTCATTCAAACTTTACAATGATCAGTAGCAAGTCCAGTTGTGCATGTAATCGGCTTTTTAAAAGGTTCAATGAAATTTGTCAGAGTTATGGCCATTTAATTATTTCTATTTTTTTTAAGTTTGTCCGGACTACTTTTCTTATACTACTAATGCAATTTCAACGAAAAACTTTACCGGATCAATTGGTAGGTCCACTACTTGCGCATATTACACGGGTTCTCTGTATTATTGTATCACCCATGAGTAGCCTATTAACAGTATTATCTTACTTTTATTTTTTTTGAATACCATTTGGCCGAATCATGGCCCTTGAATAAAAAAGGGTGTAAATTAAGATTGTCCGGACTACTCCTCATAACCATATATGCAAATTTAATGAAACTTTACATGATTTATTGGTAGGTCAATTACTTTTGCATAATACTCAAGTTTTCACTTTTCACTTGAATGATCTTAAGTTATTGTCCTTGAATATTTTATTGTTGCCAGCTACACAGAAGTTTGTCTGGACTACTCTGCAGAAACTACTGGTGCATTTTTATGAAACTTTAGGGGACTGATCAATGCCATGTCTGGTTGTGCATCTCATCAACATTTTGCGGTTCATTAATCTTTGTCAGATAGTTTTGGCCCTTTTATGATTTTAATTTTGAAATTTGTCCGGACTACTCCTGTTTTACCACTAATGCAATTTAAATTTAACTTTACATGATTGATTGATAGCTCAAGTTCTTGTGCATATTACACAGTTTCTTAGGTTCAATGATATTTTGCTGAGTTATGGCTATCATGAGGCGACACATGTGATCACTGATTATTCTTGTAATTAACATCAAAAACTTCATGAATTAAATTGATCTAATCGTTTTATATTTTGTTCTGTTAAGATTAAAATTATTGGGTGGATCATAGGTTTATGTGATTTAATTATTTTTAAATAAGATATTCTTATTATTTAAAGTGATGTTACTTAAGATATGCAAAGTCCCAGAAAAACAATTAATTGTAAAAGATAAAGGCACTTTATCAAAACTTTGGACATAATTGATGTCTTAAGTACTAGCAGTTGTTAATATACCATGCTTCCACTGTTTGTGGCCATATTGTGGACAGTATTTCTCTAATTTAAAGACTGTTGTGAGCTGAAGGGCTGTTATAAAGTTGCTGTATCTGTTTTATAATACATTAAAACAGATATATGTTCAAAGGAAGGAAACCCAATATAAAAGGTTGCAAAAAGTTTATCTCATTACTACCACTGCATTTTTGAATGACTGAATTTTAAAAGCTATTAATAAAGGGAGGTAATAAGAACACATTTTCATATGCAAAAAGTTTTATAATTATGTTAAAGCTAACATATTGAGCATTTAGCAATGCATTGTTGACATCTACAAAAGTTATATAAATCATGCTCCTAAAGGTCAATATTGGCCCTGTCCCAGGGGTCACATACATAGGAAAACTTTTTTTCATATACTTATGTTAAGCTACAATGCCCAGATCTCAGTTATTTGGCATGTATTATTACATAAAATACCCTGCCGTGGTCACTGATATTTAAAAAAAATGGCTTTGCCAAATAGGTTTTCTTTTGGGGCGAGCCGGGTTGTAATACACAATTGACACGTTCGCATATTCATATGGTATACATGTCTTAAAGTTCGTCTTATCCTCCGACATACACCTGCATATCATAGATTTAAACACTTTGTTGGCTTTATTTTAGTTTAATTAACAATAGTTATGTAGAAATAATGAAAATGAAATGAATGTTTGTTCGAGAATTGATGTTATATATTTAAAGGGAAGTAATAAAAAGATTTATTTGTAAGCATAGCATTTTGATTTTCAATTATTTTGTAGGCATTATAGTTTGTGCTCTTGAAATTTCTTGTATAATATTATTTGTATGTTTCTTTGATTTTGTATCACTTAAAAACCAACATTATTGTTGTTTTCAGTCCGTATATATACTCCGTGACAATTGCATAGTTGTAAATTATGACCACTCTGTACTTCAAATTTAGTCTTTCAAGGTCGTGACTGGAACTCGACGTAGAAAGCTGTACCATGTACAAATATCTCTAAATATTCATTTTAAAATATCATACATCTAAGTTGACATGTATCAATATTGATCTTAATATTAATAATTGATATAAAACATGTTACGGACAAATGTTATAAATGGGTCTCCACAATATATTTTCAAAAATTTTTCTTGATAACTTGATATTTTAATTTCTTTAAACAAATTGCATTTGGGCGCACATTGCTACGCCTTTGAGGTGCTCATGTAGTAATGTTCTGTGTTACTAATTATACTTGTAAATCATTTTAGGTTTTCGGGATAGAAAACAGCAAACAGCCTTCTTTGAATATGATTCGTACGGAATCATTCCAAATATCTCAGTTCACGAGACAGGTATAATTTCATGACACATTTAGCTTTACATAAATGTATAGTAACATTAACAGCACATCTGCAGTATTTGATAAATTGTCATAAAGTGATAACATGTATGCTTTAAGATAAAAGCTATTTTGTGAAGTTAGTTTGTATATTTCAATCATAACGATTTTTATGACAGCACAGCCAAAGAGGAAGAAATTGAGTATAGCGACGTGTGACAAAATCTACACGGAATCAGATGTCATCGAAAGCAATGTTACGTTTGGAATGCTGAAAACAAATTTCAAATTGATAAAGGTAACGCCTATGGCAAACTTTCAGAAATACAAACACTATTTGCAAGTAGAAGTGTTTAGCGCTCTTAAACAAGCAATTTTCGGGCACCATAGAAACACTGACACACGATGTCAAATTTTGGTAAAATGTTATGTATGTTCGAATTAAAGGAAAGCTTAATTAAATGCTACACTTACTTCACCAATAAGTTTCATCAAAAGAACAGTTTAGATTTAGAGACATGCTGCTTGTTTGCTGATATGCATCTCGCTTGTTTTTGTGTCGCCTCTACGGAGTAGTGGTGACATATATGGATCACTTCTACGTCGTCTGTCTGTCCGTCTGTCCGTCCACCACAAAACCTGTCCGGGCTACTTCTCATAAACTGCTATTGCGATTTCATCCAAACTTTATAGAAATAATCAGTACCTAGTATAGTTGTGCATATCGTCGGCATTTTCCGGTTAAATGATTTTTGTCAGAGTCATGACCCTTTTATAATTGTTATTAATAAAGATTGTCCGGACTACTTCTCTTTAACCACTGATGCAATGTCAATGAAACTTAACAGAATTTATCTTTAGCTCGAGTTCTTGGGCATATTGCACGGGGTTTTCGGTTGAATGATTTTAACCGGGTTATGGAAAGAAAAAGGTAGTTTGTGTGATGCCAGATATACAGAAGCTGTCCGGACTACTTCTCAAAAATAAACTACTGGTGCAATTTCATTCAAACTTTACAATGATCAGTAGCAAGTCCAGTTGTGCATGTAATCGGCTTTTTAAAGGTTCAATGAAATTTGTCAGAGTTATGGCCATTTAATTATTTCTATTTTTTTAAAGTTTGTCCGGACTACTTTTCTTATACCACTAATGCAATTTCAACGAAAAACTTTACAGGATCAATTGGTAGGTCCAGTACTTGCGCATATTACACGGGTTCTCTGTATTATTGTATCACCCATGAGTAGCCTATAAACAGTATTATCTTACTTTTAATTTTTTTGAATACCATTTGGCCGAATCATGGCCCTTGAATAAAAAAGGGTGTAAATTAAGATTGTCCGGACTACTCCTCATAACCATATATGCAAATTTAATGAAACTTTACATGATTTATTGGTAGGTCAATTACTTTTGCATAATACATGTACTCAAGTTTTCACTTTTCAGTTGAATGATCTTAAGTTATTGTTCTTGAATATTCTATTGTTGCCAGCTACACAGAAGTTTGTCTGGACTACTCTGCAGAAACTACTGGTGCACTTTTATAAAACTTTAGGGGACTGATCAATGCCATGTCTGGTTGTGCATCTCATCAACATTTTGCGGTTCATTAATTTTTGTCAGATAGTTTTGTCCCTTTTATGATTTTAATTTTGAAATTTGTCTGGACTACTCCTGTTTTACCACTAATGCAATTTCAGTTTAACTTTACAGGATTGATTGATAGCTCAAGTTCTTGTGCATATTACACAGTTTCTTAGGTTCAATGATATTTTGCTGAGTTATGGCTATCATGAGGCGACACATGTGATCACTGATTATTCTTGTAATTAACATCTTATTACATCAAAAACTTCATGACTTAAATTGATCTAATCGTTTTATAATAACAACCATTATTTAATCACTCATGAGTATTTTATAAACAATATTATCTTATTTTTATTTTTTGAATACCATTTGCATTTGAACATTGAAAACAGTCATGTATAAATCAATATTAAAGATCGATATATGAATATTTGTCTTACAGAAAGGAACCATGTGTCCAATGTCCACTTCTTCTACAGAGAAAAACTATTTCTGCGGCATTGTCCAAGGTTACAACATTTCTCGTACATTCCAAACTTTACATTACTGTTTATCTTCTACCTCACCACGTTGATATATAGTATACATATTTTATCTGTTGTTGATCTTAAGCTTTGTCACAGACTTATCTGTTTCTGACATAACATTCAGTGGAAAAAAGCACGAAATAACATGTTTTAGGACGACATGTTGATTTTGTTATGCAATATTCACAGTCAATTTAACATATAAAGCAAAAAGTGATTGTAACATCATCTAATGTTAAATTAATTCACAGTCGAGACTATTGGTATGCTGAATGCAGTTGAATGTATTCACAATCGCGTCAGTATGATTTCAGAGATGCTCTTGTTTCATAGACTTTGTATGTATGAAAGAATACACTTTATGCTACATTAACATTTGTATGTTTCAGTTGCTGATGATAAGGCTGGAAGTCCGGCACGTATGTATTAAATTGCTTGCTGTCATTCATAATATGTAGAAGAAAGGAAATAACATAAAACGTTATGATGTTGACTTGAAATTATTGTACTTTATTTCTCTAATATGACACATCTTACTTTATTTTAATAACTATAGTGAAACGTTTTGTGTCAGTTAGTTAACTAGTAGATATTTTTCGATAAATAAATGTTTTCATTCAAACTCAAGGCTTGTTAGCAGTCTTTTCTCATCCATGCTATTTTTATTGACTTATCAAAAGTGTATCTTGGTATTGTCTTTCTTATATCTCACTTTTAAAAGGGAGTTAAGCGCCTTCTTTATAATTTTTCTTATGAATATGTGAGTAATTTAAATGACTTATTTTACAGGGTTGGTATCGGGCTTCGACTTGGTTTGGAATATTGATTCAAAACGTACCGGTATGATTTTAACAAACCATTTAAACAATTATTCCAGGTTAAGTTATATATCATACCAGTTAAACAAAAGATTCCAGGATTAAATATATCAAAGTTCAGCATCGAAATATTTAAATATCTATTTATTGTAAACAAAATTACATCTTTTTCATTAATATAACAATTAAAACATTCTGTTTTGCTGATGAACAATTTTGATGTCACTAATTTTAGATAAGTACGCTTACCTTGAAAGGTATCAAATTGACTTGCGGCGTTCTATGCATGTGTCTATAATTGAAATGGTTTTCAATGAGAAAAAAGAAGTAAGTATATGTTTCTATACATTTTAGTATTTTTAGCACGTGCACAATTCATTGTTTTAATTTTGTGCCAATTTTTTAAACCAATGATAAGACCTTTTTCGTCATGTGACCGAATCTTTTTATATCCCCTTAAGATACGCAAGCGTGTTTAAAATCCCATAACTATAATCATTATTCCAACGGACCCGCACAAACCTTGTACTTTGTGATAAAGTTCAAGCTCCAAATGTGCTTGCTAATCAGACTCGATAAGGCACTGTATTAAATACCAGCAATTTATCTACTTAATATTAATCCATTGTTATTTTTTCGTTGGCGTTTACCTTCGCACCAACACAATATAGGTTTTATATTGGCTTTCTAGCTTTTCTTGTGCAGAAAGACCTGAGGTGGCATTTTAGAAATTATTTCAGGCACGAACGGGCACCTGGGTAGAACCACTGACATTTCGTAAGCTAGCTGGATGACTTCCTGACAATAAAGAATCAAAAGTCCCTGTTGGGATTCGAACCAAAGCGGTGAGATGCAATTGATTTTAAGTCAACGGCCTTAACAAATCGGCCACGGACGCCCCTCCAAATAACAGAAGATCGACTCATATAAAGGCAATGAATGCTTATAAAATTATGTTTATTAGGTTTATAATAACAACGTTATTTGTATATGTTCCAACTGAACGCTCGACAAAAAATAACCCAGTATAAGTGTACTTTTAAAATAAACAGTCGTATATTTTTGGTAAATATGTATGAACTCGTAATATATTTTAATTCGAAATTTAAAGATGTACATAAGGATATTGATCATCTTATATCATTTTATTAATCAGTTTGTTATTTTAAACAGCTTTAAACATTTCATTTTTTTAAGGTTGACCTTTAGACACTTCGTTACTATTTTTAACTTGATTGATAAGAAAGTAAAAATGTTATGTTTGCGCATAAAAAGAACCTTCAGAGATATTCCTACATTGATGTTTGGCTTGATTTTTGACAGATAACATTACATCTACATAAAAGAATTATGGATTCCAGAGCAACAGATAAGGTGCGTATTTGCGTATTTACGCAATTAATTTCAGAAAATACTCAATTGATTTTTTAAGAATGCGTATCAAAACCCATTAAAAAAAAAAAATACGCAATTGTCTTAAAAACCCGTGCGAATTGTCATTTTCATCATCGCAAAATTTATCAGTCGTACGCTCGTTGTTTTGGACAAATTATATCGATATGCATGTTATCCGAATATTTCCAAATCAATGCTAAATAATCAACGGTCTCCGGTCTTCGACGGTCCCCGGCCTCCAATGACCGACTAAGCCATGTCAATACAGCATGAGACCGTCGATTTGTCTACTCAGGTCGACGGACTTAAAGACCAGCAGAGACCGTTAATTTTGCGGAGACCGTCAATAAGTAGGTCCCAGCTGTATCAATAGACGCTTTGAAAGCAATATGGCGTCGTGCAAAAGGGAAAATGATTTGAAACAAAACAGTCGTAAATAATCACAAGGTTAGTTTTTAAAAAAGCTAGTAGCGACTCGCTTCTTAATTTTTTTCCAGGGGTGCGTTTAAATGTAAAAATGACAGTTCTGTTAGCTGAAGAGACTTCAGCGAACATCAAAATAAAGTGACATGAAGTTATGGAAGCCAGTTCTCTCAGTTTAACAAAGAGGAATATGAGTATATATGAAGATGCATGTAAACAGATAGAATGAAGTCCCTATGTCTATGCACATTTACTGTATGGCCTGTTGACCTTGACCAAATAAATGTTAGATAGGTAGAATTCATAAAGATGTCTCTTTATACGAAGTTAAGTCGTAATATGTTATTTAGTATTGGAATGAGTGACAGACACAAGTCCTAAAGTAAACACAAGTTGTCTATCAATTCAGCCAGAAAAGCCGGGATCCTATTAAAAATATAGGGACCCCGGAAATTGACCAGTCTAAGATGTTTTTCAGATAAGCCGGGATCCTTTTAAAACATATAGGGATCCCGGGAATTGACCAGTTCAAGAATTTAGTTTTCAGAAAAGCCGGGATCGTATTAAAATATAAAGAGATCCCAGGAATTGGCCAGTTCAAGAATATAGTTTTCAGAAAAGCTGGGATCGCATTAAAACATAAAGGGGTCCCGGGATTTGACTAATTCAAGAATGTAGTCTTTGATTTTTCCAATTAATTAGGCATATAATTATAAGTATTGTGATTTCCGCATTTTAAGTTTGTTAATAAATAGCTCTTAATATATTTATATCCTAAGCTTAATTAATTTAACGTTTATTACATACAATAAAAAAACTTAACGTTTAATGGCCTTTCATTACGACAATAATCAACACAAATATAGTTTATTAGTTTTTCCTCTATATCTTATACGATCCCGGATCCCGGCCAATCCGGGGCGTCCCGGATCCCGGCCAGTAAATATATACACTTAATACCGGAAAGGATTAAATGACCGGAAAAAAGGAAAAAGAAAAAAATGCACAGAACCAGATGTACACTTACGTTTATTAACCAAACGAAAACTTACTACAGAGGAACAGGTGAAATCGCTAAATCAAAAGTCAGTGTAAATATGATTTATTGAAAAGAATTCATGAAAACAAACATTATAATCATCATTATATCTTTGCGCTCAAAATAAAACTTGCTGCTTTTTAAAAATGGCGTGAAAATTGAAGGTTTTTTGACGCTATGTAAGATTAAATTTGATTGGCTACTTCCGGTCAAAACAAAATGTCGGAGTTTTTTTCCCAGACAAAGAAAATTTTGAAAATGTAGTTTTTTGAAAGGTTTGGAGGCTAAACTTCTAGATGAGTCTATAGTGTCAGGTACAAGAAACCCTAACGAACTTGATTATGTAATGTAATGAGTTGTCCCAGTGACCAAATGATATATAACTGACTATTTACACACCACAATTGTGACATCTACTCAGAAAGATAAATGGGAAATAGGAAAAGAAATAGAAATAAATCTTCACCTGGTCAAGACAATTCAATCAAAAACATAAACCTTTAAGATTTTTGAACATTGAAACTACGCCAGAAAAAGAGAGTGGTCTTAGTGAATTTTTTGAGGTAGAAAAACAGCCAGATATACTTGTATCCCCACCCACTTCACAAACAAAAATGTCAAAATTCAGTCAAGCAGACATTAAAGAACTAAGTTCACAACTAGCACCTGAGCTTATTAAAGAACTTAAAGTCCAGTTGCAAGAAGAAATTATTAAAGAGCTAAGGGGTGAATTCATCAATATTATACAGGAAGAGACAAAAATGTTGAAAGATGAAGTAAGTGCTTTGAGGGCTGAAGTAGCCTCTTTAAAATCAGACTTAAAGACATCTGAGATGGATCAAGACGAATTGGCTCAATACGGTCGTCGTATGAACTTAGATATTTCGGGCATTCCAGGAGATACCGGCAGCAATGAAGAGAATGTAGAATCAAAAATTCTTGCAGAGGCCAAGAAAAGAGGTATTCAGCTGAGTAGCAGCGATATTGATAAGTGCCACCGAAAAGGTAAACCCAAAGACAATTATAATAGAAAAGTGATCGTTAAGTTCACCAATTCGAAAGCAAGACAGCGGGTATATAACGCTAGGAAAGAGATATCCCATGGCATTTTTGTCCAAGAAAACTTGACACCGCTGAGAGAAAATCTATCCTTCCAAGCACGGCAATTAAAAAGAGACAAATTAATAACTAAAACCTGGATAGCGGGATGTAGAGTCTATGTTCAGGTTACTGGAGCAACAAAAAGTTGCCTTATTAAGCACATGGACGACATTCAAGAAATTCGAAACAAGTTATAATCCTTGTGACAAGTGCTGTCTTTTTGACAGGTTTTTATTGACATCGAGTGCGCTAGATATTGACATCAATACATACTTATATATATAGTAACACTGCTATTTTTAGACACGCCTCTACACTGTGTAAACTATGCAAATAGATTTACCTGTAATTGTTTATATTATTAGCAGACGATTTATTATCAAAAGTAATCACATTAGCATAAACACATTCTCTTTCCTTATGTAATCTTTTGTATATATATATATATATATATATATATATATATATATATATATATATATATATATATATATATATATATATATATATATATATATATATATATATATATATATATATATATATATATATATATATATATATATATATATATATATATAATTTACCCGATCGACAATCGACTTCAGATTTAACAAGTTAATATATTTTTGTTTTTGTTAGCTCCAAGTATCAAAACATGATTTGCTATCCCACTGTTTTTTCGTAAATGTTTTATACGATACCGTTATTTCTAAGCTCATACCTGTTTGTTGGTGTCTGTCCGTCTGTCTGTCTGTTTTTCCTGCCTGCACTACTACCTGTATATTTAACCTGACTGTTGTAAATTTTTTGTAATTGTGTACATGTAGAGTGTATATTTATGTCTGTTCGTCCGCCTGTCTAACCTGCCTGTACTACTATTAGTATATATTACCTGACTGTCTTTGTTAATGTTTTTGTTTATTTTATACATTTAACTTAAGTCTTGTGTACTTTTTCCATACTCTTGCCAAATTTTCCTGAATAAATTTGATTTGTATCTGTATTCCATTCACAGTATAATACTGTGAAGTCTCTATCTATTAAGTTTATTTTTTTTTATAAATAATATATATATTAACATTTATTATCTTCCCTCTTTTTCAATATGTTAATACTCATCCTATTTCTAGTAAACTTATTCTGTATGAGTAATCAAAATAGTTTCCCTTGTTGCCTGTCCCCTATGTTAGATATAAATACACTAAGTAATAAAGCCCTTTGTTTGCTCTCAGTAATTATTGATATAAACCTTTTACCTAATAGGTAATGATATAACTTTATGGAGAGTAACAATAGGGCTTTATTATAACTGCAGACAGAGAGTACTAAATTCAAGTTGTTTTGAATCATACCAATATTTAATCAAGATGTATAAGTACATACGGATAAAAAATTACTTTTTAAAACAAATTCATAATTATAATGTGTATATGCAAGATATTTTTCATTCTATTATGTGTGTTCTTATCATAACTATCTTGCTATGTACATTCTCCACTTACTACCACAGTAACATCCTAAGTTGTAATTTCTTAAACTATCACTCATATCAAAGTATTGATCACATGATCCTATATATTATTAATGTTTTTTTACTTAGATTGTTATTGTTATCTGGGGATATTGAGCTTAATCCAGGCCCCGAAAATAATACAGACCACTGCTTTTCTATTATACATCAAAATATTCGCAGTATTAGAAATAAAATGCAATATATTAAGGAAAATTTTCTAGATTTTGATATGCTATGCTTTACTGAGACACACCTTTATACAGATATAAATAACAGTACTCTATTACTTGAAGGTTATGATTATATGTTTAGAAAAGATAATACTGCGCATTCTGGTGGATTTCTTTTATATGCTTCAGCCCACTTAAGACCTGAAAGATTATTTGATCTAGAATTTCTTCTCCCAGAAACTATTTGGCTCAAAATAAAAGACAAAAGTAAATCATATCTAATATGTACTGTATATAGACCCCCTCACTACAGGGTAGATTTTTGGGATAAACTAAACATATGCATTGAGAAGGCATCAGAAATAGGTAATTATATTATTCTGGTAGGGGATGTAAATGAAGATCAACTTAACTCAAACAATAGAAAATTTAAGGATATTCTTAATCTTAACAACATGTCAAATATAATAACTCAGCCAACTCGTGTAAGTGATCATTCAAGTACTTTAATTGATCCCATTGCCATTTCTAATAATATTTTATTGCATGACTCTGGAGTTTTTAAAACGGACAATACTATAAGTGACCATTATGCTACATATGCTTATATTAAAATTAATTTCAAATTTGATGCCCCCTTTAAACGTCGTGTGTGGAATTACAAAAAAGCTGATTTTAATAAACTGAATACTTGTATACAAACAACAGATTAGTCTTTTCTACATGATAATTCAGTTGATACAGCATGTAACTATTTTATTACTAAATTTCTTGATATTGCAAAAACATGTATACCCACATATTTCGTAACTGTACGTACTAATGATAAGCCCTGGTATAATAACGAAATTCGTAGAACATCAAGAAAACGTGACAGATTAAAAAAAAAGCAGTGAATTCTAATAAAACTTCAGACTGGGACAAATATAAACAAATAAGAAAGAAAGTCAACAACATGAAAAAATATGCTCAAGAAACTTTTTTCAACAATATAGAATATTCATTACATGATCTAAATAACACAAACCCATCTCAATATTGGAAACTTGTTAAAATGCTTATTAAAGATAATTCTACTACATGTAAATGTGACAAAATACCACCCCTAAAAAGTGAAAACAACAGTTATTCAGTATCTGATGAAGAAATTGCTAATACTTTAAATAATTATTTTGTTTCAATCTCCACAATTGATGACACTAATTCAAATCTTCCAAACTTTTCGTTAAAAACTGATTCTTTTATTGACAATATTCAAATTTCAGAACATGAAATCTCTGATATTCTCTTAAATTTAGTTATCAAAAAAGCTAGTGGTCCAGATGAAATTAGCCATCGCATGCTCAAAGAAACCTCAAAAACAATATGTCGACCCCTTTGTATTATTTTTAATAGGTCTTTTCAAGAGGGATCCTTTCCCAATTGCTTAAAATTAGCTAATGTAGTGCCACTTTTTAAAAAAGGAGACAAGGAAATTCCATCTAACTATAGGCCTATATCATTAATCAGATGTCTTGGTAAAGTAATGGAGAGAGTAATATTTTAACATTTATACAATTATTTACATTCAAATGATCTTATCTATAAATATCAGTCAGGCTTTCTTCCGGGACACTCAACAGTCTATCAACTTATTGATATGTACCATCAAATTTGTAAAGGATTTGATGAAAAAAAATCTACTTGTATAGTTTTTTGTGATATCTCTAAAGCATTTGACAGGGTTTGGCATTCGGGTTTATTATTCAAGTTAAAACAATATGGAATTATAGGGAAATTTAATAAATGGATTGAAAATTATTTAAGTATAGGAATGCAAAGAGTTTTTGTAGGATCTTCATTTTCAGAAACTAAATATTTAAATGCCGGTGTTCCTCAAGGCTCAGTTCTTGGCCCACTTTTATTTCTCATATATGTCAATGATATAGCCGAGTCTTTAGAAAGTACTGCAAGACTTTTTGCAGATGATAGCTCTCTTGCAGTTACATCAACTAATATAAATACAATACAAGATGTGTTAAACTCTGATCTACAAAAAATTTCTTCATGGTCCCAACAATGGCTGGTAAATTTTAATCCATTAAAAACTGAAGTTGTTACTTTCTCTTTGGCAGACCGTGAGCAACCAAAACTTATTTTCAACAATACTACATTAACACAAGTTCAAGATCACAAACATCTTGGAGTCATTTTAAATAACAATGGAAGTTGGCATGAGCATATAACAAACAAAAACTTCCTCTGCTTCAAAAGTCCTAGGGTCAATGAAAATGCTAAAATTTAAATTAAAACGTACAACACTTAATCAAATTTACATTTCTTATCTCAGACCTATTTTGGAATATGTCTCAGTCTTATGGGATAGCTGTACTAATGTTGAGAAAGAAACCCTTGAAAAAATGCAATATGAAGCTGCAAGAATAGTAACTGGTCTTACACGCTCTGTTTCTATTGATAAATTATTAAAAGAAATCGGTTGGGTCTCTTTATCAGACAGGCGGAAAATTCAAAAATTAGTACTAGTTTATAAAGAAAAACATGGGTTTTTACCAACATATATTTCTGAACTATTCCCTCCTATGGTCAATGAAAATAATCATTATGATCTGAGAAGTAACTCAAACTATTTAACTGTACAAAGACGTACAGAAATTTATTCTAGATCTGTAATACCAGCATGTGTTAAACTATGGAACGAAATTTCACAATCCATTCGTGATGCTCCAAATCTTTCAAACTTCAAAAATTTAATGAAAAATCATTTTAAACCGCCTGTTGTTTCTAAATTCTTTTTAAGTGGGGATCGTATTTCTTCTGTTCATCATGCTAGAATAAGAAATCAATGCAGTAATTTAAATGCAGATTTGTTTAGGAACTACTTACGACAAAATCCTATCTGTGACTGTGGTAGTGGAGAAGAAGATGCAGAGCACTATTTATTTAAATGCAAACTTTTTACCGAACAAAGACTTAACTTATTTTTAGCTACTAGACCTTTTCACCCCATAAATACAGAAAAACTCTTATTTGGAAACCCATTACTTAATGATGTCGAAAATGAATTTGTTTTTTCTGAAGTACAAAAATTTATTAAACATTCTAAAAGATTTTGATAAATTCAAAATTGATCTATACAAAAAAAACCAGATCAGGACTTGAGATCAGACCTGAGACCTTCCTATAACCATGTCCACACAAAGTCTAGGCTGCTCTACCGGCTGAGCTATCTGGTTATCTTGTAATGGTATATGTTTTTTTTTCCTTAATTTATCCACTTTCTACAATTTTTGTACAGTATCTACAATACAAAATCCAGGTCACTCATACAGTCATAGACAGTCTTATGTTCCGCTTTTATTCCCATTCTAAAGTGGTACCGATAAATATACATGTAAATACTTTACTTACTTCAACTGACCGCTATTTCCATCTGTCAATGATTATAAAATTGTAAAACATAATGTAGACCTTGAAATGTGTTTACAAATATGTCGTTTCCTTGTTGACACACGTGTACGTAAATTAGACATATGACGTAAAACAATTGCCGAATTTGATTTCAAATTATCGCTGTCGACATTAACACACATCATCTCTGTCAATTTCATAGGTCAGGCAACGTAGGGTTTTTTCTTCTCTCTCTGTTAAGGGCTGTTTAATTTATTTATTTTTTTTTTCAATTTTGTTAAGCTAAGTAATTCCCCATTCTATCCAGGGTCTAAAATTTCTTTTGAAAGACCCTGTTCTATCTTAATTCTATGGAGCATTTTAATTGATAATTTATAATAAATATGTAAATACACGTGTGTGTGTGTGCGTGCGTGCGTGCATGCGTGCGCGTTTTGATTTTTTTCTCACTTCCACTTGTGTAACTATTCTTATGCAACTATCCGGAATATATGTATTATAAAGTTTGACTTTGTGGGAAGGGCTGTTGCTAATGTTGTAATAACTTGTAGCCCAACCCATTTGCACTATACTTATATGTACATTTGTTTTTGTTTCTTTGTGTGTTATTCATATCTAACATGTATTATATAGTTGCAATAAAATATTATTAAACTAATTGGCTAAATAATTTTGGATCCTAACCCTGATAGATAAATTTTGTAGAAAGCTGGAAGCCAAGCTTCGATTAAATTTTTGGATGGATTCGGAGTTTTAGGTTGTTTCTCAGTAAAATCCTAACGTAATACCGGCTCGCCGTGGCGAGCCGTCAACAATCAGTCAGAAAACGAATTTGGAAAAAAATATTATGAAATATAACATGAGCATTTTATATAAAAATAAAACAATTGTGAAAAGTTCTAGTAAATTGTTAATCCTATTTTTTTTTAAACCGTTTAAATTTTTTTGATATTGAAACCATAAAAATTCATATAGATCTTCATAATTGAATACCCAATTGATCTTGAAATCATAGGGTATTGAGTTTTGGAATACCCAATTAAATGGAGCCAATACCCAATTCCAAAGGAAATGATGGAGTAATACCAAATTCACTTTTAAAGATTATCTGTTGCTCTGGATTCTATGATTACAATTGTACCTTAACATAAAAAACTTTCTTGTCATATTCTGTATCAAGAAGCTTACTTTTTATTTTCTCGTTTCAGATAAATCAGACGTTTAAGCAATGCTGGTATAGTGAGATGAATGCTGGATTTCTTTATGGTGAAGCACTGAAGTGCAATCATACAGACAAGAATGGTCGCTTGCTGTTAAGGTACTGTATAGACATATTGTGGAATAAAGATTTTTCACAGCTAAAATGAGTGTACAAACAAACATTTACAGTTACACCTTTAAATTTAGCGGAAGTTCGCCATAAAGCAGTTTACGGTAGCAATTTGTCTTTTCGCTTATTATCAATATATACTGATAACTGAATATATTTACCAACTTTTAACTGTAAATATTTTTGTACCACGGGAATAAAAGTGAAAAACCATCATTCACCGAGTATCGTATCTCTATTATAAATTTTATGAAAGGAAGATTAATTATTATAAATAAATACAGTTTTTACTTTCTTTACTGCATGTAGGCTTTATAATGATGGCAAAGTATAGTCTCTTTTCGGTTTTAGCAGGTAAACGGTTGAACAAGACTTTCTTAAAATAACTAGTTTCATCTTTATGTTTGGCTTTAATTTTTCTAGGCCCACCCTATGTAATGGTAGCTTTTGTAATATCAGCACTTATAATACGCAATTTGCAATACATTCCCGAAAGTCCATGACAATTAAAATGTGTTATATTGATAGTTATAATGCAATTTACAATAGCCTCCGAAAGTACAGTTAACACATAAAGTGTAGATTGTTCATGGATCACCCTAATAAGAGTCTAAACAAAAGTTGATTTTTATCTTATATTTATCTCTCTCTGTTTAAGAATTTTTCTTTTACATTTCAGAAAAAGAGTTTTTTTTTATATTAGTTACATAAGTTTTTACCGTTTATAAACCACTCCACGTAAAATAATACACCATTAAGGATAAACAATATACTTCTATTTCAGACACGTTCGTGCCCGTTACATCACCTTGGATTTTGAAGTCATTACTTCATCATTGAAGGCATCGAAATCGCAACTGATGAATCAAACATCATTTAAGATCTTTACAACGGATTTGGAATCTAGTAAGCTGTCCTTTATAATATTATCATGTACATGTATTGGATAATAACGTACATAAATTAAAGGTTCATTTATCCTTTAAAATGAATACATATTCCGTCTTTAGAAAGAATAAACAACTGTTAAGTATTAAATGAATAACGGATTTATAGAATGTTGTGACGTAGCCACGAGTGAGAATACTGTTTTTAAAGTTCACGAGATGAAATAAATTACATCGTTTACAACAAACAAACAAGTTTCCTTTTTATTTTATGCTTTAAAACAAGTTGAAACGAAATTTTTACTTAATTTTACCTTATATATTAAATTTGTTTTTCCCACTGGAAAAAGTCATAAGTCTATAAGACTATAAGACTATAAGTCTATAAGTCGAATTTCTCATAAAATACTAGAAGTCTTGGCCGAAAAATAAGTTCGACAATTAACGTTAAATGGCGGTGATACTGTTCATTTTAATTTATTAAAAAAAAAGATATGAATGATTGTTTGTTTTAATAATAAAAAACAAACAATTCTAGTAGAAGAAAAAGTCACACCATCCGACCTTATTTCCGTTACTTACTGCGAATTTATACTAGACCTGGCTTTGTGAAATGTAAGCGGCCGCCATTTTTAAAAGTTGTGTATTTGACGGGAGGAAAAAAATTATGTTTGATTTAGAGGGATATAATTGGGATAATTATGTTAGTCATACATCTTTTTAGAAGACAATAAAATTATTTGAGGATTGTCACAGACAATAAATAAGTGTTGACAGATGAGTAAACATTCAAAAAGCGGCTAGGAAATTTGAAAACATGGAATTGCTGAAAGACTACCTTACGAACGCTAGGTTGTTTATTTATTCTTCGGGCTGATGGCTGCCATTGCTTTTCATATTGCATAAGGCAGTTATTGCTCGTTGGATACTGAAATATGCCCAAATGTCACCATGAGCAGTTTTGCATGTGGAAGGAATTGTATTTTTTTCAGACTGAAGAAAATGAAACAAAAATTTAGAGACGATATTTCGTAATTGGTAATTTGAAAAAATTGAAGTAAGTTTTATTACTTTTGAAATTCAAGTTATTTATCAAGTTTAGATTTGCTTTTCTCTAAACAGCCCTGACAATGGGGAAAAACTTAAAAGTAGTTTCGTCATTGAAAAGTGTGAAATAAGATTTTGATAATTTTCACTGTGAAATTATCAAATATAATTTTCACTGATAAATCAGTGATCCACTGAGAAGCATAAAATAATTTGCTTATTTTTTTTCAAATACCGGTATACTTACATCAGTTGATTCACTTTTTCTTTGACATACAATTTCATCAAGACGACCACTAAGTAAAAGCGTAAGGTCGTCATTCTTTATGAAGTTGTTAAAACTTAATCTTTGTCAGGATAAAATGCTGAATTCACTCTAAAAGTATTTACAAAATGGTTGTTGGTTATGTTTATAAAATAATCATATTGTCTCGTTATATTATCGATTAAGTTTTATCACACAAACCATGCAACGGCGAGAGTGTAGTTAATCCTTTAAATACAAACGATAATTGTTGCCGTTCCTGGACATAAACAATTAGCTAGATTTGACCATTTCAACCCGATCATCGTTTTTTTAAAGGGAAAGACAATGTTAGAATAAAAACTTGATATCAGAAATAGAATACTACAAATAGTTAATCTGCAAATTTTCTGCCTTTAAATAGTAACATTAAACGAATGATAACAAAATTCAAATCGCTCAATCACCGATTTCTACAAATCAGTAGGTGCGGCCTTGTTTGTATATTGGCCGAATAAAAGCAGGTGCTTGTGACGTCATTTCCCCACATCTGTAGATTTATGATAAATCTAGTAGAATCGTAGCGAAATATAAAGAATTGACCAGACAAATTTATTTTAACAGGATGCTTAGAGAATATTTTTTTGTTCAAAATGCGAATAATATTCAAAAATAAAAAACAAAGAAAAAAATAAAAAAAATAAAAAAAAACAACTGTCTACAATTAAGTCGCACCACTTCAGACCAGCGAAGCCTTTTACTCCAAACAATGCTACGTTATTAAAGTCTCATCTTAATGTGATAAAACAATATTTCACAGATTTAATAAGTACACATGTTATTATTGTACAAAGTTTCACAATTATGCAATTAAAGAAACAAACACACCAACGCATAATATTGGCTGTTAATAATTGAACGGCGATAATTATCACTTTTATAGAAACCTACTTAAACGTGTTCTGAATAGTATTTGTATATGTGTATGTTTGCAGTTTGATTCTGACTTTCAAATAAAAAGGTGTTAACATAGATTATACTTGATTATACTTACATTTAAAAAATATAAGCATATCTTTTGAAATCAAATGTCAACGTATGTTGCTGCGTGTTATTTATTTACATCATTATCGTAGCCTAATATTAACTGCAGGCAAAACATTTTTATTGGCTGCTCAAAAATCTAATTTGCATAATTTATTCAATTGCTGGTGTCTCATACTGTGCACTATCCATTTTAATTGTTCCTAATTTGCAACAAATGTCCATGTCACACTCTATACTGACGATTTTTATTGCTCCGTGTATGCCTCTGTGGAGAAAGCATACACAGACAGACCTTTTGATCATGAAAAAAGCCATGCACAATGTTTCCCTGATTGGTTAATCAACCTGTCAAATATTCTGATGACGAAATAGACATCTATTTTTTTTACACTTCATCAGTGATTTGAGTGACCTTAGGGGGAAGCTGCACACCAGTCCTGTCATATTATACTGTAAATTACAGCATTTCTTAAAATAGCACATTTTTTCAGTTTTAAATATTAAGTAGATTTATGATTTTTTTGTTTTATTGGATTAAATTTACGGTAATAGAAGTGCGTATCTGTGTGGGAAAGGGATTACGTTGAAAAAAGCTATACAGAAATGGATAAATTCGAGAATATGCGTAATTACAGGGGAATCTATTGGTACCAGTTTTGACTGGATGACTAACCCAACGGACAGTTTTGTTTTCATACGATATTAGTCTGGCTGCCGATTCTCCTGCGCCATTCTCTTTTTTTTTAGCGCCAATGGCGCAAAATCGCGTCCTCATCAGATCTCTGCATATTGGATTTTACTGAAAAAAAGAGACATGACCGGCGAAGTACCCGATTCACACATAGAAAGGACAGCTTGTCTGGCGAAAATTAAGTACAAAATAAAAGAATTTATCGGCAATTTGAAGGAGCTTCTCATTCAAATTAAATTGACCAAATAAATTAAATGGTTTATCTTTGAACATTAAGCAGTCATTGCTTAAATCATGTGGTCAGGGATCACCAGCAAGCTTGATCATCGAACAAATGTTAATTAATGTCGCGGCGTATTAAAGCAATTCAATTCAATACGATGTTTTTATAAACTTGATCGATTATAACATATAAATAAAAACTTGAATTGAAGATGATGATAATTATTAAGTTAACGGACATGTAACAACCATCCATTATCGGAGAAAACATTCAGTGTGACAAAGTCCGAAACCTGCAATAATTTCAATATTGATATTTACATAATTTATACTTTTGTCAATGCATTTTTGTAAAATCATTTTAATACATGCATGAATGTGATTTTAATGTACGTAATAGGATTAATAAGTTCTTCATCAAGATATATTTTTGTTGTACCAGCGTGTACACCTATACTGTAGGTGGGTGTAACACGTCATAATTTCGGTATCGTCTGTCTCGCGAGAGTGAAAGAACGCCAAAATGGCGGCGCCCATGAACTTATTTCTCAAGTAAAAAATAGTGTCTTAAAACACGAATTTCTCAGTTATACGGTTGATTTCAACAGAAAAACTGTTATGGTACCTTTTTTTAAATGATAAATATTTATATAAGACAGACATCACTCTATCCATTCCTATTCCTTTAAGCCAACCAGAATAGAAAATTTAATACTTTATGATAACAAAATAGACAACAAGACCTTGAAAAGGGGCAACTATAGGGCATGCTTTCTGTCATAACTTTTTGTCGTTTTTTTATTGACTATCCTCATGTGCGAAGCTCGAAACTAGTGTGTAGACACCTGAAGGGTAAACAGTATTTGGAGCTTTATTGCTCAGTAATCTATATGATAAAAAAAATAATATCCGACTGAACGGCAAGTCCTATTATTTTGGATATGTCAATACTTGTACATAAATTTAATAAATTAATATCAATGCAACAAGACGCCACTTGCGTGAAATAGAAATAGCTGTTGTTTCACTACATGCGTATAAATGAAAAAAAAAACACACCCAACAAAAACAACTGTTGAAATCGTTCCTTTTTGGTATGTACGAGTAATTTACAGAATAGAACGTTGACTTCGTTTACATTACAAATTTTATTGAACTGGTCAGTGATTCGCGTAATATAATTTATCCAAATTCGTTCAATATATTAAGTATTAAAACGAAATGCATACGTATTTTACAGTAATAAGAGTATATTAAAGTGGTAGATAAAATAAATAACAAAACATTGTAACATTTTTTACAGTGAATGGAGAATTATGTAATGAAGATCTTGGAATGAGTGATGGGAGTATTCAAAATAATCAAATATTTGCCTCATCACGGTCAGAACTTTATCAACCGTTTGCTTCAAGACCTTCCTCAACTGGTTGGTGCCATATCAAAGTGAAGGATGCAAATCCGTGGATTATGGTTTGAAAATCAAAATTCCATCATATCACTCAAAATAAGCGTTTTTCTTGATATATGTACAGCGTCATTTTTAAAAGAAATATTTTGAAAATCAAAAGCCATACTTATATAGATATGTTATACTTGCTAATATCATAAAGCTGTTGTAGAATGTAATTTTTAAGACGAACAGTATTTTTAACCAAAGATAAACAAATAAAAGCTGCAACATTTCGCTGTTTGTATACAGAAAGATCTAAACAGTTCTCCCACGTTTTGTTTAACAGCTGTTTATTAAACTTAACGTTTAAACATTTTGTCATGTGTTCAGTAATTTAAATGAACAGATTATTTTAAGTGAATATTTGATTTTAGGTTGATTTAATGGTAGTAACGAAAATTGAAGGGGTTACAATATATGCTTCAAATGGAGCAAATATTCATTCAAGAGGAAGCTGGAACTCATTCCGTCTTCTGTATGGGAATCAGACAAATAACTTAAAAATTTGTAGCGAAAAGGTAATGTATTAGATTATAATGAACTGTTTCACATTTATGTCAAACAAACACATGCATCACTTGGGTTTTGGAAACAGTCTAACCAAATTTGACCGTCAACTATAAAATTAATATCTTATTATATCAATTGTATCGAATTCATATGCAGCATCTACCATTTTTGTAAAGTGTATTTGGTTCTGAAAATACTTAAATTTAAGCATTTATTACGGCGTTCATATATTTAGAAAATGTGACATATCCCCTTTTTTCATTAAATAGACAAATTGCGGTCTTCTTCAAAAGTATTATTTGCGAAAAGTTAATACAACACAATACAATTATGATGAAATACAATTACTAAGTAACGCATTGATGCAAGTGATTCAGGATTACCTACATTAACTATGTCATGCCACTGTTTCGTTTTTGTTCATGATTGCCGCATAAACTTAAGGTAACCCAGACCTGTCTTCGAAGAGAGTTCATATATGAATGCCTGGACCTCCAGGACGTTTTATTGTTATTTTGCGATAAACACAAGAACATGAAGTTTATTTCATAAAAATACATGCCAGGTATACATCGATATCACATTCATAAAATCCGTTTACTTCTGCTATATTTATACTCGTTTTACATTGACTACTCGTGTAGTATAATACAAAAATGGTTGGTAAAAGATCAAAGTTTGCCATTTTAACACGGTCTTAATTTAAAAATCGTTGCCTCCTTGGCATAGGGTGAAATGTGCTCTGTATGTCGACAAAATGAAAGCCTTTTTTATCAGTTATTCGTTGGTTTAATGAATTTAAATCTGGGTTAATTTAGACAGAACATACACCCCATGACTGTTGCCCCCCCCCCCAAGCAACGTTTGTCAAGATGTTTGCTCAAGTGAAAGAAATAGTAAATATCGATGTACGATACACCACAAGGCAAATTGTATCGTTGAAATCTTAATAGTAGTAGCTTATACAATTCTCAAACGTTACTTAAAATTATGTTTTTTATTAAGAAAGATCTATGATAAATGAATTTGCTGAACGATGAGCAGAAAAAGAATCGCGTACAATTCGCTAAGGTGTTGCTTAAACAGTTTCCAAACTACAATGTACGGTCTTTTAAAAATGCGAACATTGTTGACAAACATGTGTTTATTTCGATAAAATAAAAAAAGATTTGGGCTATAAAGTTTGGCTAAGAACCATGCATTGCAAATACGACATCAGTATAAAGAAGGTAATGTACGCCATTTTCTTTACAACTCATGGTCCCTCATTCAAGTTGATGTTCCCAAAAGGCGAATCTGTTAATTCGAAATTTTTCAAGACAAAACGAAACTTCGCAAACTAAACAAATGATTTCGAAAACGAAGACGCGCGACAGGTTTGGCCATTGTCAAATTGCTGCATGGTAACGCGGCATCGCATAAGACGTTTAAAGTGCAATACTTTCTGAAGGAAACAAATGCAGTTATGCTCTCCCCATTAACTGTATTCACCTGACCATGATTTCTTTTCTGTCTCCGAAGCTAAAACATAAGTTTTCCGGTTTACATTGTTAAGTGCAAACACCTCAGTTATGCAAGTTTCCTGTGTCTTTGTTGCCGAGGCGCCACACTTTCCTCTCACGACTAGGACACTGGGGCCATGGCATGACAGATCAAATCAACTTTAAACTGTAGCAAATCATATTATTCTATCATAGTTAATTTATTGATTTCATCCTACTGGTCAACATGTGTGCATCGAAGAAAACCATTTTAATAACAAGATAAGTAAAGAGGAAAGGTGAAAAGACAGTGCTATTATTAATCACGTTGAGTATTCGATTTACAATTTTATGGCGTACTGCTTAAATGTTGGTATCAGTATTTTGGGAATATAAGGATACTATAGATATATTTCAAGACCTGTGACATCTTCATATTATACCTAAGAAGACTATGCAATTGCCTTCAAAGATTGAATCTGGAGTCTGAAACTTTGTACATATGCTAGAGGTGAATCCGTTGAGAGAACAAAATAAAAAATCAATGGAACCTATGAAGAGTCAAGTTTTAAGTGCTAAGATGCATTCATTTTTAAACATTCCTCGTATGAAAAACAGCAGTGATGATTTTCTTTCAGAAGCAAGTATTTTATAATAGTTCTGATGGAAAATCTAATTACGTGCACATGTATCCATGTGTCTAAGTATGCATTATTGCTTCGCATTGTTTGCTTTATGTTATAGTTGAAAACTGATTTTGACCAATCAACGTCTCGCAAGCATAGATCATTTTTGCTTCAAACCTCAATTACTGCACGTTTGATCAAGTTGGAATTAAATGAAAGTGGCGAGGCGGAAGAAATATGTCTTCAATTTGAAATTCATGGGTGTAAACGTTCAGGTATTCATATTCTTTTTCTTATATTTTTCAATCAACTGTTAATCCATAATAAGTAGACCGGTACTGTACACAATACTCTTTTCCCAATTCGGTTGACTCACATTTAGTACGAATACATCTGCTCTGATACTAAATAAAGCTGTTGAGCAAGTGCTTTATTGAGATATTTAGGACGTACCAACATTTGGTTGGTATACTCGAGTAAATATAAGGAAAGATAAGAGGACTGTATGTCTTAGAAGTGAATATGACATTAACCAAACCAAATCAAAATGTAACATTAACAAAACCTAATCAAATAAACAAACATAAAAAACACAAATAAACAAACATAAAAAAAACAACAACAAAAATACAGAAAACAACAACAAAAAACTAATAATATGTCTTTTACTCTTACAAAAGTTTAACGAGACTATTTAAACACAGGGGTATAGGCTGTCGGCCATTCATTCGCTTCGCAATCAGTGCCATTTTAATATTACAGGAATGCCAATCTCGCTGGAATGTGTCCACAACATAAAAACACCTGATAAAGATTTTAGTGTTGATCACACCGACGAAAGCTCGGGGGACGGTGCACATCTCACTTCATCAAGTGATTATGCGTCTAGTAACTATTTTAACGAACATAAAGATGATATGACCATAGATTACACATCGGATTATGACGACATTGGCAACAATGACAGGCCACAGATTCAGATTGACTTTAAACATTTAACAGCTAAAACGTGTACGATAGGTGAGATATTTTCCAACAAAAAATAGGATATAAATAGTGATACTTAATTAAAAAAATAAACAGCTTTGGCATCTTTATGCCATTAGCATTCTGGACATACCGTATACCTTATATTGAATACTGACACCTCGTGGAAGCAATAAACACCAGTTTAAGCAATTGTTATCACTTTTATAAAGGACGTACCGGATGTGTTGCAGCTTTTAAAAGTGTTATTCTTGCATCTAAGTATTGTTCTATTTTTGTCGTCCCTCGGTATCATTGACCCCAATAAGTTTATAGCTTAGAATAAAAAAACTGTGAAGTCATTGCTTGTGCCCTGAGAGATATAACACCTTTCACGACAACTCATTATCCGACACAAACCAACTGAGTCTGCAATATTCATCATTGATATTTTGTTTCATTGCTCTCGAAAATTCTTCTGTTTTCCAGAGTTTTCACCATTTTAGATTCCTTAATTCTGTGTTTGACATTCAGTTTTCATATAGACAATTGAAATCAGATCCTAGCTTGATATTTTATCTTAAATTCCTGATTTTACTTAAAAAGACGTTGTTTAATTTAGCACGAAACTTCATACTCACAGCTAAGAATTGGTAAGAAATGTATAAGGCTCAATATACAACCAACCTGAACAGAAACCGTATAAACATTAAATGATGTTAAACATATAGTATGTCTTCGGCTGATTAACTGGTAGTTTCAGTCCTTATATTAATCACTTGAAACATTTTAGATAATACAATATTGTTTTCTTGTCCCACGAACACCCTATTAATTGACATATAACTATATTGCTATGATACATTTACAAGCAAACGTTCACAGTACAAGTGCAAGCGTAAAGACACTTTCTTTTTATGCCCCCGCCATAAAATGTTCCGTTCATTATCTTCCCAACAGTTGAACCCAACTCAAATTGAATGTATCGATACGTCAAAGGAATGCACAGTTCAAGTTAAAATGTTGGTGTTGGTTTGCTGATTTCTGTCAGTATTATCGCTCTTTGACGAAAAATAGTTTTTTGGTTTCCGTTCATTATCTCCCCAACAGTTGTACACTTTCAACTGGAATTTGTCATATAGACAACTTAGAAATTAGCAGGCCAAATTTGAAAATGGTCCTAGTTCGATGATTTTGGACAAAGTTATCTCTCTTGAAAGTTGGAAAAAAATGAATTTTTATGTTTCCGCACCCATTTGTGGAAATGTATGTAGTCATTATCTCGGCTACAAATATGCAAAATGCAATTTGCAAGGTTGACACTGAATAGTTTCATGGCCTTTAACTTTGTATAAAATGGTTTGTGTAAACATTGGATGGTTTAAGTGGTTTGAACTTAGAATGAACAAAAAAAAGTTTTTGCAAACAAATTTGGAGCAAATATTATTATAACATTTAAAATTGTGGCTGCATACGGGGGCATCCGTGGCGTAACGACACATTTCTAGTTAATATCAAATATCTTTTACGTTTATTGACTATGGAAATAATAAACAGAAAAAAAAGAAAAAAACATAAAAAGTAACCTAATATTGGATAATATACGTTTCCTTCAGATGCTGTTGACCTGTTTCCAAGTTTTAAAGAGGACCATGCAACGATAATAACGAACGCATTATATGTTCAAAAGTCTTCAATAATAATGTCTATAGGCTATCCTTTTCTGACAGGAAGTGACTACTGTTATTCATGGATAATAGATTTTAATCATCAGCACTATGTGAAATTAATCTTCACAAACATCACGTTGAACCAAATGGTAAGACTATACACTTTTTGGACTTTTACAGTGTTCTTTTGAGCAATTTGATTAAACGAAGCTTTGCAAATTTGATGTAATTGTAAAATTTGTAAATATTGACCGAAGTTTACAATGACAATTGAAATTTAACGAACGGTAAGTTTGTTTGAATTATCTATTACAAGTATTTACCGAAGTGTTTCAAACTCAAAGCGTTATCAGAAAGCGTATTGTCTCGTGAACATTCATTAGTAGCGTAAATACACGAATGTGACCATACACAAATCTTTTGTTATTATTTGGGAATATTTACGAAGGTGCACGAAATATTCTCTGATACTTTCGATTATTTTGATAAAGGGTTGTAGGTCTGAAGAATATAATTGCTATATTCTATCTACAGGAAATATAATGCATTAAATATTCTGAAGTGAAAAGCCATATGCATTTTTGCCGTAAAGTAAATACATTAAAACCTCTGCAGAGCAACATTCTCTGGAAGACAAACATTTTAGTTGCCCCTGAAAAGTGTTGCTTTAAACAGGTTAATTTATTGTAAATTGTTGTTGTTATTGCTCTACCGTTGGCTGTTCTGCAGCGGTTATAGTAAATGTTGAAAATAGTAGAATCTATATGGACTTACAATTACCATTTAAGAGGTCGTTCCGTACAAACTTGTTTGCAACTTTACAGTTATGACAGAAGAAACCAGATTTGCCAAACATTTCAGATGTGTAGTCATAAATGTTCAGATTTGTTTAAATAAAACTATGGTCTTGTGTCTCTTTATATTCTTCCGGAATAACATTTTCAACACGTTATTCATTCTCATAAACATTAACATAACTAACTTATTATTTTATAATTACAGCAGCAAATGTTTACCGCTTAAGTCGGTCCTAGTGTTTTTGAACATTTGTCATTACTGAGAACGAATTCTCTACCCATTTCAAACATTGTGTTCTTTGACTGTTACAAAGAGTGTATTCCGGCGTACTGCTTATATATTAAACAAGTACACCAGAATACAATGTGTGACAGCTAACTTATTACTTGAATCTAAGGCAATCCGTAACAGTTGTTATGACTAACCCTTTCAAATATTCTTAAATATTTCGAATATTTCTTTATACGATTTTTCCTGAGCTCTACCATGAACTTTTCAAACATGCCATTTTTGCACTGATGCAGCTATCTTTTCCTCTACATATGATGTGCTATGTCTCAATTTCATTACAAACATGTACTTAAACTGGTTAATATTAAAGCAACGCGCTCCAAGACTTACACCTGTTTTGGCAACGATAATAGAGAATGATTTTAAATAGAGAAATTTTAAGTAAATATACAATGTTATGTTATTAAGCTATCTTAAGACATATACAATTCTTATGCATAAATATCAGTTTAAGTTAAATATGCACATTTATCATCTGAACATGTTTTTGCTTTTAAACATTAAAACCAACTAAAGAAATCATGAAAAACAAAACGCAAAAGTGTACTCTTAAAGAGCGTTAAATTACGTATGAAATTTAAATAAGTTATGATTAGCTTGTACGTGTATGCTCATGTCACAGTTTTGTAATTATTCGCTTTTCAGCTTGTTCTGTTAATTTTCTAAACTCATTTGCTTTTGTCCGTCATGAATGTCGTGTTTTAAATAGCTACAATTCGCACAAGTTTTCATGGTATCGGTTAGAATCTTCGGTTATATAAATTAGCCAATCATGAGCCGACAGTTGCCAGTTGCGATCTTTTGCGTCAGTTAAACGAAAGGCTTTTCGATTGGCAATCGCAATACGATAACCACCGTCTATGTATAACGAAATTTAAATAATGATGACGAATCCTCCTAAAATCTCAAGAATGCACAAGATGATGTTAATGGTTTTTGCTTTGGTGTAAGGAGGCTTTTCGAAAATAAAATCCTAGACACTAGTGAGTTTACTGTTTTATGTCCGCAAGCAAATACATCTTACCACCTTTTATTTGGGCTGCTCATTTTATTTTGCTGAGCACTAAATTCTAGAAAACATTTCACAAACACCAAAATTTGTGACACATTATTGTCAGTCTGTTATTGTGTTTTATATCTTTCCTTGAGCATAATCTAAAAATCATAAAACGAATGTGTTGTTTTGACAACAGCAACATTTTTGTTGTACAAAAGAAGTATAAATTTTTTGAAAATCAAAATGTGTTTTGTGTTAAAAATGCTTAAGAGATGACCTTGTAAGTCTGCGTATTTCTTTGTCTGCTTTATTACGCTGATTTGACATCTTTTTGGTGATATCATGGCGGTTTGTCCACCTAACCTGCTCTCCTGGGAAGGTGATCAATAATTAAGAATTACTCTGCAAAGTACCGACTAGTAGTCCTGGTCCCCCATGCTATCTGAAAGATTACTGCAAAATTAAAGACCATGTCGGCGACCCCTAAATTACAAATCCGATGATATCCCTCTTGAGGTAACCCGGCGAATGAGTATTGAACATTAGATATGCTAAAAGTGTAAAATAAATATATAATTATATACATTAATAAAAGTGTTATATATAAAATGAATATATTATCACGCTCAATTATCATTATCTTTTCACTTCAGGTGCTTAATGATGATGATGGCTGTGACGACAAACTCATTCTAGGAACAGATTTACAGGAGCAATTAAATGGGACTGAAATTGATAACAATTTTAACGAAAGAGTATTTATTATTGAAACAAACAAGACTTTTTTAGTTATAACATTTCAACTGTGTTTTCATAAATTCAAAGGAAGTAGGTTTCGTGCAGTTGTAACGAAAGAAGGTAAGTTATAATCAAAATGAAATGGGATTTTCAGCCACATTTACGTTCGCTCTTCTATATAAGTAATATAAGTATGTGACTTAATTTTTATAAAACAGGTATATCATTCAAACATATATCAAACAAAGTTACTTAATACCTATAACCTTAATTCTTCATGCAAAAACTGGTTTTAAAGGATGATGTGAATTGGTGTTTTAGATATTCCAGCTTGTTTATCCATCGGTCCAAACGTGAATTGGAGCAATGGAAGGAAAGAGTTTTGCATAAATCCAGAAATGATACTCACGTCAATGTCGATTTTGAATAATCCGTTTGACAATTTTGAAGAAAGGTTTAGGATCCGGGCTAAAAATCATCACGGCATCGAGATTGAGTTTATAGACTTTTATATCGTATGCCCGATAGGTAAGCATCGTTTTCCTAAATCTTATTACTTGCAACATTTCACTGACTAAATTTTCTTCTCCTGGTGATGTTCACAGCTTTACAATGAATGGCATTTGAAAATTCGTGATATTAAAGTACTGGACCGCAAACAATTCAGTTGTCAAACTAATAAAGACTTTGTTTGTAGAAATCGAAAAGAATTTCCTGTTCTTCTGAAAAGATGCGTCATACAATTTTCAGTAATCTTCGGAGAAAAGTAATTAAATATCTGCGTTATAGATTTAAAAATCTATTTTAAACACATAGAATACAATAAAAACACTGAATTCTACGTTTTAGGTTTCACTTGAGTTACTATTGTCAATACATCATCTATGTAATCGTTTGATTATTGAAAACTATGAACGTCCTATATTTTTTAGAAATAACTGAGAGTCGCTCTCGCTTCAAAATAATTGAAAGAAATGGCGACAAAGAAAATACATACTGCAACACAAATAAACCTCCGGAAAAAATCAGTTCCGAAGAAGAAACTTTGTTGATTGTATTTCGTAAATACGAAGACCCAACTAAAGCCTTTATAGGAAAGGAGGGATTTCGATTACATTACAGGACAAAAAACTACTCTTTAGCCAACTGGACCGAAATTTCCTCAAAAACAGGTAGATTTATTTGAAATGACTTATCTAATATATATTCAAGTAAAGTTACTTCTATTCACTTTAATTTACACCCCGTACCACTTTTGCAACTCCTAAACATCAGTGTTGAACGGTTGTGCTTGTATTATGACGCGCCATCATTTACGTTTCGCCAACAAAGTGTAAAAGACGCACTTAATGTTAGCGTTTTACTTTAAGCCCAAGGGTATATAATGAGTGAACAGATGAAAGTCAAAATAAGTTTACATTTTATCATAACTCCTTTCATTTTTATGAATAAATTCTCATGATCGGTAAACATGACCCAAGGGAATTTCTGAAATTATGAAGCGGAATACGAGGAATGATCAAAACGTTCTAGGCCAGATATACTTCTAGCCACCACACTGACATTTACACACGATACGTCGATACCGATATCTTATGTCGATACCGATATCTTATTGAAGATTACTGACCGGTTGTACACATATTAAGTAACGTAAAACACACTTTGATCAGTAGAGGCCTGTGTCATTAAGATCAAATAGAGTAAGTTAATATCAGTCCCCTTCCTATAGAACTGTGAAAAAATGGGCTGCTGAATTTAAGAGGGGCAGTGAGAGCATTTGAGATGAGAAAGCGGCCTGGGCGGCCAAAAGAGGCCACCAACGATGAAACTTTGGTTCAGACTGAAGTCTATGGCATGTCAAAGATTTCCTCTGGATGGGTCCCCAGACAGTTGACTGACGACCAGAAACAGACCAGGCTTGACATTTCAAGATAACCTTTGCCTCGCAACGAAGATGAAGCTAACTTAATCTACCGGGTCGTTACTCAGAAGAAACATGGATTCATCACTTCGATCGAGAATCCAAAAAAGCAGAAGAAGCAAACGGCTCACTCCCTCCGAAGTAATTCAAGACTGTGTCATCAGCAGGGAAGAAGATGGGAAGATTCAATCTTTTGGGATAGTCAGGAAATAATCATGATTGACTATCCCGAGCAAGGTGGTACCATAAACGGTACGTACTATGCAGACCAATTGAGACGTCTGCCTTAAGAAATCGCGCGTAAAATGGGGGGTGGGGGCAAACTGACTCAAGGCGTTCTGCTCCTGCACGGCAATGCGCCAGCTCACACATCCAAACGTTGCGATGGCTACTGCAACTGACTGTGGCTTTAAAATTCTTCCCCATCCGCCATATCCTCCGGACTTGGCGCCCTCTGACTTCTACCTGTTTCCAAACTAGAAAACAAGTTCGTGGTAGACGTTTTGGAAGTAATGAAGGTGCCATGGAGGCGGTCAATGCAATGTATTCTTTGAGGACCAAAATTGAGAGTTCTATTTTGAAGGGTTAAACACGTTGAATCACAGGTGGTGCAAAGTGCATTGATGTAGAGGGCGATTATATTGAAAAGTAGGACTTTTACTTGGGTTCTCTGACTACCGGATGTACATCGGACCAAGAACTTGTTGATCAATTCTCGTAAACTTGTAACATTTAATTGATAAAAATAGTGGGGGCAGTCTTTTTGATATTTAAGGCAGATTTATTTTTTACCCTTTACATTTTCTAAGATCAAGTGTTGGTCAATCACCATTTTATCTGTAACTCTTTTGAAGTATATTGTTAATTCAGCTCAACATGACAATGCATAAAAGGAACATAATGCCACTTTAAATCTATTGAACTCTTTGAATGAGAGAAGGTCGCATAAAACAATTTAATCCAAGTCTTCAATAAATTAAGTATTGAACTTGAATACACTTATTCAATATCTTTAAGACATTAAATGATATAATCTATCATTTTACTTTTATCTCGTTGTTAACCACATTTAAAGAATGTTTATTATACAATACAGTATTGCTGGGTCCAATTATTTTGAGATCACTTCACTTTGGTACAAAAGAAGTTAGGGACTCACCATCTAGCACTTACATTGATGGCATTCTTAATTTTATTTAAACGATACTGATATTATGCTAGTAAATTCTATATTCGATAATGAACTTCTTGTATATTGTTTGTTTCATTTTACGCCTTTTCCCAACAGTATTTCAGTCATATAGGCGGGTAGTTTCCTAACCATCGTTCCATGAGAGTTACACCAGTACTAGACTACATTCCTCCGCGCTAAACTACCAAAGCATCTCCCGGGGATCGAACCCACGCCAGAGAGGTAACTGGATTAGAAGTCATCGACTCTAACACCTCGACCACGGAGGCAGTCTTGTATAATTATACAATGCGACTAATATACATGTATTCCTAAATATGCATCACGCAAATACAGCTGATGCATCGTTACGTAAGAAGTTATTGCAATGTTTGTCTAACACAATGATTTATTAAGTCACTAAGATATTACTTTTACTTCACATTTTAGATGGCGACATGAAGGGCTCAACTATGACAACAGGTACTTACTTATTTTTAAGATCCATATAGTCCTATTTCTTTCTTTAATCTCAATTTGTCTAATCAACAACTCACTGTGTGATTTTGAACCAGGGGACTTTGGACATTGTCATGTGAGGAAATCATTTAGCTTGCTTTCGAAAAGGTCGGACATGAATACATAACATGTTCCTTCAACGGAAAAGCTAAAGAGTTGTCATTATACCTTGCAGTGTCGTAACTAAATGCCAACAAAATAAATAAATGATCGTCCGAAATGCCCGGTGTGTAATTATCACCATTTAAAACCATTTAAGCTGTAAATAATGTAAACTATATTTATTTCATTCTTTGGAGAATTTGTTCGATGCATATTGTTTTCACTGTAAATATTAGCGCATATGATATTGAATATACATGTTACATTGTTTTACTGAAATACGCCATTAAATGGGAACCATTTCTTATTAAGTTTTTTTAAAGATTGTTATTTGTATACAAGTATTGAAAACGGGAATAAGCAAAATAAGTAAAATTAAAATTTAATAAAGAATAAAAAAACATTCTTGTAAAATAAATCAAGGGCGCAAGGCAATAGTTTAATGAAGTCATTTGACATCGTGTATATCTCGTAACGTAGTAATGTGATAATAACGAAGGAACAGTGTAATAGTAGCTTATATATACAGCTTAATTCTCAACATTTACAAAACGTTTTAAGAACACGAAATGAAAAATCATTTTACTTTTGCAGTTTGCTCGCAGAAATTCAAAAAGTGTTACAAAATATTTTCGTCATCGATGTCCTGGAGTAAAGCTGGTTCTGTTTGTGGGAAATATGACCAATGTCTTGTAACAATACAGTCACCAAAAGAATTACAGTACATTAATTACCTACTTCGTGACCAGAGGTACGTTGATCGAAGAGCTGAGATTAGTGATTCAAAAGGCTCAAGCTATAAAGCACATATAGGTGAGTTGGCTTTTGAAGATATGACACAATTTTTTGTAACTGGCTTCTTTTACTGAGTTTTATGCAATTGGGATTATTATGAAACAATTTTTAAAGTTCTAACGTTTTGTCAGTTTAGGCAATGATTTTTATACATTTACTTTTGAGTTGAGCACCACTTTACTATCTAAAGACATCCGCCTAATGTAACGAGCAATCAGTGCGTAAGTAGTCGCAAATTGTATTTGAGTGATATATTGAATATATAGTGAAATAGTTATATTGATGTTTGCTGTTATGGGGATTGATGTATTCACATTTCAGGATTGAAGCGCAAAATGGTCACAGATAGGAAAGAAAATTATGTTTGGTTGAACAATTATGAAGTAATTTTTTCGCCATGGTAACTATGTTATGTATTATCGTCATAGGTATGACAGAAAATGTCTGACTATGAATAGATACCACTAAATTCATACACTGAACACAAAAATAAGTAAAACAATTATAGTAAAATGACTGAATTAAAAATACTAGACAGATACTGAATGCATAAATGTTCCGTTTGAAATTGTTTTAAAGCGATTACGACTTATTATGGATCTAAGTTGTATTGGTTACCTGTTCCAGTCCTGATAACCATTTAATACAAAGTTTTCATTCCGAAACCCTTAACTCTGGGAATAGAATGACTGTAACTATCTCTAAATCGAGTTGAGTAAAAGTGTACCTCATTTGCAGGTTGAAAGTGGTAATATGAATAACTAGGTGCATTATTATTGTGTGTCTTATGTACACGACCAAGGATAACGAAATTCAATTGTACTGGTAACCAACCTTTGAGTACGGGGACTGAGTTTAAGTATAAATCTCACCATTTTATTCTGTGAGGCCTGAAGTCTATTTTTCAGATTTTGACTCAACCCCAAATACAAGGACGCACACGCATAATCAAAAAAGACATTGTTTCAATGAGGAAACTAAAAGCTGTTTAGTATACATATTTAAACATTAAGTTTTCCTATATAAAATCTTACGTTTTACACCGGCCTTCTTAATAACCCGATTGGCTATAGACCCACAAGATATACTTTGATCTAGGTCAGTACTTAAATATTTAACAGATTTAGTAGATGTTGTTGTAGTATCATTACATACAATATCTAGTTAAACTAAATCTGATAATTAACTTTTTCACCTTCATGTTTGGTCATGTTTAAGATATTTCTATTCAATAAATGTAGCTGAAAATGTTTTAGTTTTTTTACACAGAAAAACGAAAAATAAACAGACAGACAAATGGAGTCCATTTAAAAAAATAGAGATAAACCTAGAAAAATCAGCAGCTACAACAACAACACGACAATACACATATGTTGCACGTATTTATGCTAAATGTTTATTAAAGTTTTAAGAACAATAAAAACTATATCGTTTAAACTTAACAATTGACACGTTTTCTTCCATTCATGTTTCATTTTGTGTTAGATGTATATTCGTTTCAATTAACTTTGGCTTATCATGTTTTGATTGAAAATTTCCTCGTTCACAAATTTCAGGGCAATTGGTGAGCCAACAGTTGGGGACTGTACTTGCACAAACTTCCGGTCATTTATTATAGACAGAACATTGGAATCAGAATATTGTAACAATGAACATAATGCAGATTATTTCATCTGTCAGTCGGATTATAATGAAAAGGGGAAAGAAAAATGTAATTTATTTTTGTTCATACTCCAACAGAAATGTTTTCGTGTTGGTTAAGTTAAATTGAGTTTGAAGTTTACCTATTATAACACCTATGCTATTTTCAGGGGTTATATGCAAGCTTCCGAACAAAACGAGCATTTTACGTTGTTGCTTTATACATTTACGTCTAATATGATTATATCTTATCAGAAATCATATGTTAGAATTTGTATGTGGTATATGGGACAAAAGAACATATTCTCATTATGTATTTTTGCCTTCGACTTTTCTCTTACTCTTATTGAGTCATTTAATGTTTAAATGTTTAAATTGAACGAACAATTACGTACTTTGAACGCCAAAAAAAAAGTATAGGAAAGGTTTAAAGGAAAATATATGTGTATGATTTTTTCGCATTTGAACATTTGAATGTATTTCAGCAAATCACATAAATTTCATTGAAAATTTTATTATACACATGTAACTCTTTCATTATCGTTTCGAAATAGGTTATTGTTCCTATTTTGTTTATATGTTTGAGTATGAAGGAAGCATATTATAAACATGTTTTGGTATATATTGTTTCAGAAGTAATTAAAAACACTCTATTTGCTATTTGTAGTAAAAGTACAAATTTGACATGGCGTACCTGATTTTTAAATAAATATATTGTAACATTTTCATTTTCAGTTGCCTCAAAGAAAAGCAAGTGTAATACTTTGTCTGAAGGAAATAAAACAAAAATAAATTACTCCTACTCCGGGAAGTTGTGCCAGAATTGGAGTAATCTAACGAACAATGCTTTGATACATTTCAATAAAACATTTGACAGACGAAAAGAAGTCTTAAAGAAGAATTCTACATTATGTCAAGACCCTTATCGCTCTGGAATAATGGGTTGTTACGTGAATGACAGCGTGTCGACTTGGGAGCCATGTTTCTTTTCACGTACGCCTTTGTTGTTGTTAAATGGTGTTTAAAATGAGTTTGATTTTGGCTTAAATTTCAGTAACAATCAACAATGAAAATCACGTTTCCATTTTATTTCTATTTTACCCATTTTATTTGGAAGATTTTGTTATACATATTAAAACTCAATCTCGAGTCTGTGATTTTCATGTACATTTCTTTTGAATCAAAACCATTTTTATCGGGTTGTGTTTTCTTCACATTAATCAGTAACTTTATTTTACACATGTTTACTCAACAAGAACTTTTCCCCCCAATATAGTATATGATAAACAAGATCATCAAGGAAAGGCGGCGCTCAATGAACGCAGCCCCCACCCGACCCAGCAACAAGAGCCAGTGGCAAGGAGCCGAGGAGGACCCTCTGGTTCTGATTCCATGACCATGGCCATTCCTGATGTTTTTTTTGTATGCAGCTCTACCAGTCGCCGTATACCATGGGTAAATAAATGTGATAAAACGTTCCATTGTGAAGACAAAACTGACGAAGTTAATTGCACATTGGAAGGTAGGAACTACGCTATAATTTAGTATTTTTGTGCCCCCCACCATATAATGGCTGTGGTATATAGTGTTACCCTGTTCCGTCCTTCCGTCCTCCCGTCAAATTTGGCATATAGATATGTCATGAGAAAATACAGGTCAACTTGGAATTTGGTCATGATTCGATGATTTTTGGCAGAGTTATGCCCCTTTTACTTAAAAAATAATATGAAATTTTCAGTTTCCGTTCATTATCTCCCCAACGGTATTACACATTCAACTCAAACTTGACATATGGATATGTCATGAGAAAATACAGGTCAAATTCGAATTTGATCATGGTTCGATAATTTTTGGCAGAGTTATGCCCCTTTCACTATGAAAATAATATGAATTTTTCAGTTTCCGTTCATTATCTCCCAAACGGTACTACACATTCAACTCAAACTTTACATATGGATATGTTATGAGAAAATACAGGTCAAGTTCGAATTTAAGCATGGTTTGATGATTATTGGCAGAGTTATGCCCCTTTTACTTTGAAAATAATATGAAACTTTCAGTTTCCGTTCATTTTCTCCCCAACGGTATTACACATCAACTCAAATTTGGCATGTGGATACGTTAAAGGAATGTGCAGGCCAAGCTGTTATAGTGGAGATAAATTATTTCTTTTTTGTCTCCAAATCGCTCACTAAGTATTTTAATAGCAACCTGATAATTTTCGTTTGAAAGAGTCAATCCCGCAATGGCAATTCTCGCTTCGCCAGTAACATTTTCCTTCAGGTAATTAAACTTATCTATTGTAGATAACCTTTCATTCTTGTGAACGGCACTTTCAAAGGAGTCCCAGAACTCAATCCAAAGTAAGCGATTTCTATTTAACGATGCTATGTGTGGCTTTGAAAGTTTGACTGATGTTTCTTTCCTTTGTGATATTTGCTTATCCATTAGTTTTGTTTGAATTTCAAACTGTCGTTCACCTTTTTCCTGTTGTTGAATGAAAAAGTCTCGTTGCATTTCTATCTGCAAATCAAACATCCTTTGAAATGCCTTATCACTGACAGAATGTCCAGTTTCTCTACGTTTTATTCATGCCTTAAGATCATCTTTACACAACTGCAGCTTATGCGATAATGTCAAAGCACTTTCAGTCAAAGCAGAATCATCTTCGATAATTGTTTGAGTTGTATCGTCATCTAAGCCCCGCAAGGCATAAGCTAATTTTTCTGACTGAGCACTCAACTTTTCGACATAAGTGAGAAGACATAAGTTTTAATTTTATTTCTAAATTCACTAACCTGTTCTTGTAAGTTTTATACTCTAGTCCAAACCAATTTTAATATCTTTTTCAAGTACATTAATATACCGTGTACGCACACCCTTTATAACCTTAATGTTTACGTTTACTTTTTCCATCTTTGATAATGCACTCTTTGTCCGAAATTTTTCAAAATATTCAAATGAACTCGTATTGCTGTATACACTTTTACTTATACATAATATTTAACTCTGTCCCAACTTTGACTTTAGTTACTTTAAACACAATACAACTCGTTCATCTCCATAAATTTGCAAATTTTAATACATACCTTTTCCTTATACAAGCTCCTATTTGTAACGTGAATATTATTAATGTATTCATAATAATTAATTCCCTTCCACAGAAGCACAGCACATACTTTTTATCCCCCGCCGATGGAATCGGGAGGGGGATATAGTTTTGGCGTTGTCCGTCCGTCCCCGTCCGTCCGAATTTCGTTTCCGGAGAAGTTCTCTGCAACTACTGGCTGGAATTCAACGAAACTTTATGGGAATCATCAATATCAAGAGGAGATGCACATATCGTCGGCTTGTTCCGGCCAGACACTTTAACTCAGAGTTATGGCCCTTGATTAGTTATGTAGTATGAATATAGAGTAAAAATCGTTTCCGCACTACTTCTCTGCAACTACTGGCTGGAATTCAACGAAACTTAATGGGAATCATCAATACAAAGAGGAGATGCGCATGTCGTCGGCTTGTTCCGGTCAGACACTTTAACTCAGAGTAATGGCCCTTGATTAGATATGCAGTATGCATATGGAGTAAAAATCGTTACCGCGCTACTTCTCTGCAACTACTGGCTGGAATTCAACGAAACTTTATGGGAACCTTCAATACCAAGAGGAGATGCGCATATCGTCGGCTTGTTCTGGTCAGACACACTTTAACTCAGAGTTATGGCCCTTGATTAGTTATGCAATATGCATATGGAGTAAAAATCGTTTCCGGAGTAGTTCTCTGCAACTACTGGCTGGAATTCAACGAAACTTTATGGGAATCATCAATATATAGAGGAGATGCGCATATCGTCGGCTTGTTCCGGCCAGACACTTTAACTCAGAGTTATGGCCCTTGATTAGTTATGTAGTATGCATATAGAGTAAAAATCGTTTCCGCACTACTTCTCTGCAACTACTGACTGGAATTCAACGAAACTTTATGGGAATCATCAATACCAAGAGGAGATGCGCATGTCGTCGGCTTGTTCCGGTCAGACACTTTAACTCAGAGTAATGGCCTTTGATTAGATATGCAGTATGCATATGGAGTAAAAATCGTTACCGCGCTACTTCTCTGCAACTACTGGCTGGAATTCAACGACACTTTATGGGAACCTTCAATACCAAGAGGAGATGTGTATATCGTCGGCTTGTTCTGGTCAGACACACTTTAACTCAGAGTTATGGCCCTTGATTAGTTATTCAATATGCATATGGAGTAAAAATCGTTTCCGGAGTAGTTCTCTGCAACTACTGGCTGGAATTCAACGAAACTTTATGGGAATCATCAATATCAAGAGGAGATGCGCATATCGTCGGCTTGTTCCGGTCAGACACTTTAACTCAGAGTAATGGCCCTTGATTAGTTATGTAGTATGCATATGGAGTAAAAATCGTTTCCGCACTACTTCTCTGCAACTACTGGCTGGAATTCAACGAAACTTTATGGGAATCATCAATATCAAGAGGAGATGCGCATATCGCCGGCTTGTTCCGGTCAGACACTTTAACTCAGAGTAATGGCCCTTGATTAGTTATGTAGTATGCATATGGAGTAAAAATCGTTTCCGCACTACTTCTCTGCAACTACTGGCTGGAATTCAACGAATCTTTATGGGAACCTTCAATACCAAGAGGAGATGCGCATATCGTCGGCTTGTTCCGGTCAGACACTTTAACTCAGAGTTATGGCCCTTGATTAGTTATGCAGTATCCATATAGAAAAATATTTGTTTCCTCGCTGCTTCTCTGCTACTACTGGCTGGAATTTAATGAAACTTTATGGGATACTAAGAGGAGATGTGCATATAGTCGCCTTGTTCCTGTCAGATACTTATAACTCAAATTTATGGCCCTTGATTAGTTATGTAGTATGCATACATCTCATTGGCATTTCCAGATTTTACTAGTCGCCTTGTTCCAGTCAGATACTTATAACTCAGATTTATGGCCCTTCATTAGTTATGTAGTATGCATACATCTCATTGGCATTTCCAGATTTTACTATTTAACACAAAGTTATGGCTCTGTTATTGCCCTGAATATGTATCAAGTTCAAAGAATATTACTGTTTATGCCATGATTAATATATAAATAAAGCCTTATGTCTTCAGTTGTTGTGTTAATAATATCCAGTACTCGGCGGGGGCTATAAATTTCAACGAATTTGCTTGTTCTTCTTCGCTTTTTATCACACCAAGAAAATACTAGTTTTTGCTATACCGGGTTCCGGCGTCAAATTTGACATATGGATACGTTAAAGGAATGCGCAGGCCAAGTTCGAATTTGGTCATGGTTCAATGATTTATGGCAGAGTTATGCCCCTTTTACTTTTAAAATAATTTGAAATTTTCAGTTTCTGTTCATTATCTTCCCAACAGTGTTACAATTTCAACTCAAATTTGACAAATGGATATGTCAAAGGAATGCGCAGTTCAAGTTCGAATTTGGTCATGGTTCGATTATTTTTGACAGAGTTATATTTTGAAAAAAATGTGAAATTTTCAGTTTCCGTTCATTATCTCCTCTAGGGTATTACACATTCAACTCAAATTTGAATTATTTTTTGATAATTTTCTACTTCATCTTACTACACATCCTTGGATATCTTAATAAAATAAATAATTTTTCTTCTTAAAACAAGCTCTTTATAGTTTATCTGAAATTATTCTATCAAGGCACCCACAGGTCGGAGTTTCCCTCTAGGTTAGAACAACGGCTATCTTTCCTTCCACAGAAACATCACCATATGGATATGTCATAAGAATGATTTGGTCGACTTCCAATTTGGTCATGGTTTGATGATAGCTGACAGAGTTATCCCTCTTGAAATTTTTAAATTTTAATTATCCGGTCATTATCTCCCCAATGGTTGTACACATTCAACTCAAATTTGACATATAGATACATCTTTAGAATGATTTTGGACAAAGTTATCTTTCTTGAATGTTAAAAAAAAATTGGAATTTTCAGTTTCAGCACTCATACTTTTGTGATAATGTATATAGCTATTATTATTTTGGCTACAAATATGCAATATGTAATTTACAAAAGGTTAACACTGAATAGTTTCAGTGCCTTGAACTTTGTTTAAAAATGGTTTGTGTTTACATTGAATAGTTTTAAGGGCTTTGAACTTAAAATGAAAAAAAATAACTTGTGCAAACAAATTTGGAACTAAATATTATAATATCTGAAGTTTTTGCTGCATCCGGGGGCATCCGTGGCGTGACGACACATTTCTATTTATATAATGTCATGCTTCAGTTATATTTAAAAAGATAGTGTAATTAATATATTATGTACTAAATACATGTAAAGTGAATAAAATTAGCCGTGCATAATATTTAAGAGGACTAATATTGTGTGTTAAAATAGAAATAGAAAAGGAGATCCAAATAAACGTCCAAAACGGCATACGAAAATATTCTTCAGACATGGTTTAACTTTTTAGCAATCTTATATAAGAAAAAGGAGATAATTATTTTGATATTTCAGTTAATTATATATATTTACGATATAATATATTGTATAATTCATCAATATAAAATAATAACACTATAACAGATATACATAAAAGATATCCTTACAACTGTATTGGCGAGTCATACACATTCCCGTAATATGGACTAAATAAATGATTTTAACCAGCTTTTCAAAAAGGAAAAAGATGATATGTAGATGTCTGTTTATCGCCCGGCTTTTTGTGGGCGTGCATAAACATTCTAAGCGTAACTTCGCGTGCAAAAAAATACAAAACCCTTTGACAATAGGTACGCTTATGCATATTGTTAAGTTTCGTGATATGCTCGACTTTGTTGAAGAATTCTGTCCATGGATGTCCATGATAACCGCCGTATGAACACATCTGCGGATGTTTCTAAATTCAAAATTTTACTATTTCACGTTTAAATGTTGAATTCTGCTTAAGCCGGTGCTAGGGGGCGTGGACGGTAATTTGCACTTTCCAGTACCGTCCATGAACAGGCTCAATCAAACCGAGCCTGCAACATTTTCAATTTTGCCGTGTTGGGCTTTCTTTAGGGATTTTGTATTTATCTATTTTACAATAATAAGTAATACTGGCATAGAAGCTATTTTACGACACTTGTTTTACGATGAAACTTTGGGATAGTAGAGAAAAAAAGTGTCATCCAATTTCTTTATAGTAACACTAATATTTTCTGTACTATTTAGATCACGAGCTTGCAGGAGACGTTGAATTAAGCTCCACTATTCTAAACGTATCGGTCGATGAAGGAGGAAACTATTATCAATGTGGTAGTAAGGAATGGATTTCAATGGCTGCAAAATGTGATACTGTAATAGACTGTTTAGATGCATCTGATGAAATCGATTGTATACGACAAAGTACAGGTGACAAAGGCTTTTTATTGTACTATTTTAATTTGTCTATTCTGTAGATAGTTTATTTTTTAATAAGTTTAGAATGATAAAGTGGAAGCATTGTGAGTTAAACATTTGAAGAATTGACGTTATCGCGTTGAAATAGAAGGTTATGGCTAAACAGTTTTAGATACCAGTAACGTTTTTTATGTTCACTTGAATACCTTGAGTTAACCTAATAGATGAGATACTCGATTTATTTATTAAATCACCTTTTTTTAACTTGTTCATGACTTTTTATATATTAGAAATATTTGTTAAACTACTATAGTATCTTTATCCTGCTTTTTATCATGTTTTTAGAATAATTAAATAGTTTAATTCTTCTTTTTCCCCGATAAAATAGCATATGCTTCATAACCTCTGATATCTTTTCAAAATTCCCTTTTAATTAGTTCCGCCCATTGTTTTCTCGTTTAGGGCACACGCATTTTTTTTACTTGGGGACCATTTGCCGCTTTTCATGGAATGGCACTTAGTGTCACATTGAAGATTCCATGATAACCGCCATATGAACACGTCTAAATTCTAAAAACATGATAAAAAGCAGGATAAATCAAATACATGGTTGATGTTTGGATGGAGAAGGTTTATCCGGCTCGCTGCGAAAGCTCGCCAACACCGGATAAACTTTCTCCATCCCGACATCAACCATGTATTTTCTATATTTATACTCAGACTCAGGACATATATGCAATAAAGTACTATTTAGAGTTTGCATGAACAGTAGCATAAAGTTAAAAAGTATAAAGCATCTAATGCTATGTTATACTATATTGTCTGCCCGGTTTTATTTCCAAAGCGTTCTGCGCAAGATGGATTTTGTCCTTTCCGTTCCTCATCCTTGCCTTCTTGTCTTAGTTAGGCTGTTCATAGTTTTCACATGAATTACCGAGATAACCGTGATAGTTGGGATAAAGAAAGGGATCCTCAAAGGGGCATCATGTTTTGTGTCGCGGACTAACCTGATTTTCATCTCGTTTATGATTGACATTTTTCGTATCAAATATTAGCAAAATAAAACTGCCATGGATTTTTGCAGAAAGCCTCGGCATCATGGTAAAAATAACTAGAGAATGTGGAAATTTTGAATCCACAAAGTAGTTCATTGGTTATTTAACAATCACGTTATGGTAAAACTGTTCTGTAAAACTACTTTATTTTAAATTTTCTCTATGTGAGATGGATAATCGATGGCTTTAGCGAAGATAAAAGCTGGCTACATTTGAAAGTCTTTGGGTAATGACTAGGATAGCTTTTTATCGTTATGTTCAGAGTCTCTTAGACGCATTTTGTTAATCTTTCTAAAAGTATCCACCTTCCCATTTATATATATTTAGGATCTTATTTATAAAAAGATGGCTAGATGTGTGAACTCTAAATATGCATAAATTACGTGGGACCTATCTAAAACCATGATCATACTTAAATATATAATTATATAGGAAATTTTTTATGATATATTCATTTTGTTTCAGCTGTTATTTCTTTCACTCATTCTATCTATCAAGTAAATATACTTTAAGGCACAGGTTATTTCGTTTTGTAAGGAGTCGAGTCAATTCATTTTACATCTAATAAAATGCGAGGGGGTAGTCTATATATTATAAACAAGGTCTCTTAATACATTGGTTACCACAAGTGTTGCAATTCTGCATGTGAAAAGAGGACTACCTAAATATTATGAAGGGCGTCCAAACAGAATACACAGGCTAATATGTACATTATAACATTTCATTATGCATTTTATGGGGCCTCAGTGGTTTTTGATTTACGGCATTATTTCTTATGTTGATTTTTAAACTATCATGTATAAAGTTTGTTATCCAATATACTTCATGTCCCGTTTAAATTTCAATTCGAAATTGATTCAGCTTGAAATTTAAACCGGAAGTTTACAAGCAAAGAACTTTTACACATGTGAATCCCCACCTTATGATTTGCTTTTTTCTTTCAATTGGTTCATGAATGGAATGAACTCTACTTCTGCACGTACAGACGACAGCCAAAAGGTTGAGAACAAGATAAGAATTGATTAAAAATCATTTATTAATATATTTTCTTGAAGGCTATATTAAAAAAATCATAATTATTCAGTTTAATCCACCTCTTAACTTTTCAATTTCAATTCAGCCAGCAAGTATCCTTCTCGCTTTTGCATCTTTTTGCTCTCTGCAAAAATCAAAAACAAGTTCATGTTGCTTATGTTCGCTTCGAAAAATGTCAGTAAAAAAACGGGATGAAAAAAAGAAAAAAGGACAGCATTCAATGTTTGAACTATCCTTGAGACTTCGAGTCTGTTTTCATCATCAGAGCCTTGCATATCATCAAGCTCTTATGATCCGGATACATACCGTGTGTACCAAGATTTTCCTATCCGATCTGTTCTAGGGAAGCGGTACATCTGACATAAAGTGACAAAAATTGTATTCTAAAATTCTCATAGGAAAAGAATGATTGAAAATATGCCTATCAAGACTCACTTAAAACTTTTGTCTTTACCCCACAAAAAATACGATATATAACCTTTTCAAATGTTCAAACTTTTATTAGTAGCTGCAATTTTATTGCATAGTATATGCAATACATAGCTTAGTATTTTATTGAAAAGGAGATAGTGCACGATATTCAATAATCATAACTAGTATTTGAATGTTGTTATTTTTTGGTTTTGTTTGTTTGGTTTTTTTTTGTTTCTTAACTAATATGTAATCATTCAATCATTACGCTAGACTGCAATGCGAACGAATTTGCTTGTGCTGATGGAAGCTGTATAAAACTAGGTCAGGTCTGCGATTTCAAACCAGATTGCACAAATGCAGAGGATGAATTTTGTGGTACGATATTTTATGATAAAACATGTCTCAAACAAATTAAATTGTCACATTGTTAAAAATGTGGTTGGTCCAATGCATGATTATCATTTGTAAGAATATGAAATTATTAAATTTGTAAAAGAATCATTTTTAATTGAGTGCGAGTGTGTCAAAATAACACGAAATATAAATGCGATGAAGCAGGTAGTTAAAATTAAAAGGAGTTTAGTTGAAACGTTAAAAATTATAATTACCTTATTTATTTAATAATTTTTATTGTATTATATGTTAAGATGATTGCTTATAAAATAAAAATTGGTGACGTTTTAAAGACAATGCTATGAAACACAAGGATTTTTTGAAAAGAAACAAATAGTGTGCTGGGACAATCGAACAAAGTTATGTTTCATGAAATATATTTGAATAACGACTCACTCTCTGGAGAAATCTGAATGTAAATATTCATACATGTATATAACTTTATATTTAACACTTTCATTAGTCCCCTACCGAGTTTACCGGAAAAAAGGTTTACCATCCGTCTGTCCACAAAACTGGACCCCACGATAACGCAAAAAGTGCTGAAAATATTTGCAAGAAATTTGATATGTGGATAAATTGCAGTCTAGAAATTATGCACGTCTTGTTCTTTTCTTCCTAAGTTGAAAACTATGGTGTTGCCATGGAAAAAATAAACTGAAAATGTGGCTGATTTCACACATATAGTAAATCCATTGATAATGCAAAAAGTACTGAAAATATTTCTATTTAAACTTGAAATATGGGTAGATGGCAGTCTGGAGATTATGAACTTTTTTATCTTCCTATTTTGGATTTATTTTAGTCTTTTTTGCTTTGGCAACAAAAAGCTTTTAAATATGGCAAATATACACATAGACTGGATCCCGTGATAACGCAACAAATACTGAACATATTTTTATTAAACTTAAAATATAGGTACGGGTACAATCTCTATTTTTTTTTCAATTTGCCATGGCAAATGTTTGGACAATATTGAAAACTATCCTTCACGCTAACTTTCGGCGATATCTTCAAGTTTTTATGCTTTTTCATTAGAAGTTCTTTATTTCTTAAGGTATTTACTTCAAATAATCTGATTATCAATCACATCATAAAAATATCAGAATTAGCCCCTTGAACTGACAATTTTCATGAAAAATAATGATGTTTCTTTTATAATTTCTTTATTTCTTCATGTATCTACTTCAAACTTCATATGTATGTGTCTTATTGTGTCACTCATATCATTTGGGAGAAGTCTCAATACTCTAGCTTAACTAATTCCAGAATTTACTCCCCCTTGAAACTTTGTTCTAGAAACTATTTTTTACTAAAACTTCCTCATTTTTATAGCATTTACTTAAAAATCCAACATCATACTACTATGACAAGTGTTTTAAATCTAGCGTCCATAAAGATAACCGTCAGAAAGTCCGTATGTTCGTGTCTCTGTCGTCCCTTAAAACTGTTTCCCGAGGTCTCTTTTAAGTCAGAATTTTTCCAACAAATTTACTTAAAATAGAGAAAAGTTGAAACATTCATCCTGAGAAAATTGGATCCGCTAATTATTTGTTTGTATAAACATAATTTCATTATTAGGCAGGAAAACGTAACACATTACAGACAAACTAAGAGCTCAAAAGATTTAAGCTCATTATTGTATGTCATTCATTTTATGGCATAATTCAATGACCAATGGCCCATCAGAATGATGCTTGGGTTCTAACCTGTAGAGGACTTATGGATTACTTGCAACACTATGATAAATGCTTGTTTAAATAGTATTAGGTTCCTTTGTTACTTTGCAGAACTTCGAAACTGCGGTCTCAATGAATATGTTTGTGGTAATAAACAGTGTATACAGGACAGTAAAAGATGCGACTCTATCCCGCACTGTATAGATGGTAGTGATGAAATTGAATGTTGTAAGTTAAACGTTTTGCACTTTCATCATTCCGAACGAAATTTATTCACATTCTTTAAACTCATATGCATTGCGGCGTACACATAACGCATTCTTTTGCTTCAGCACATGTACAAATATACTAAAGGATTGCTTATTATATAACAAGTCATTTTCCCTTTTTAAAGTGGAATGTCGGGATTCTTTTCACTGTGATGGTGATAGATGTATAGATAATAAACTGGTTTGTGACAAAGTGCGTGACTGTGAAGATGGTAGTGATGAAAGTGATTGCACGACTGACGATGAATCATCGTGCGAGAAGTGGTGGCGCAAAGGCTATTTTGAATCTGGCCAAAGAGTTATTGGTAACGTTATTTATATTTCTTAAATGAAACAAGAAAATTTAAATGTGTATCTAAATTCGGCATACGTCGTTAGCATCCGTGATATTAAAAATGAATTGATATGACTTGATTTAAATCCTCTGAATGAAAAAACATGCAATGTTCAATAGACGTGAGCTACAATAATGTACGAGGGCTGTACAAAAAATTCGTTGACTGCAGCTCTACTGTTTTTATCTTTCAATTTGCGTACACGATTTTACAAGCGACAATTATTGGAATATGTACTAAATATATAGTGTACAAATCAATACAATTTGTTAACACATAACTTTTCCGTAAATATTACAAATACCAAGGGGTACGCGACTCAGTGCACGCTCATGATAAACAAAAATGACGTTCGTGACGTCAAAATTTAAAATTAAATATGTCATCAGCGACATTGAGCGCAAAAGTACATTTCGAGTGTTCCGTATATCCGTCTCTTATAACCGTAACCATTTTTTTCTGTTTGTTATGCGAGAAAGGAAGCGGTCACATTTTCGCTCCATTTTCGGTCTTAGGGTCTGAGACCTCTTTGTCACATTTTTTTAGTTATCTCAACTCTTAACAGACAATGTAATCAAGTTGATTTTATTGATGATTTTATAGTGTAAGCTTAAAATCACCATCATCCAATCTTTTAACAAAATTATTAGTAAAGAAAAATATTTTATAAACAATTATTATATGCGGTAAATCTACTGAACACCGTCTACCATTTATTATCAATCAAAAACATGTAATACAAATAGTAACTATATTTATTTATTGTAAATACTCATATATCCTGATGAATAAAATAAAATATTGTTTAAACTTAATTGTTTAGAATAGAATATGTAGACCCGATGCAGAAATTAAACATGACGGAGAGCTCGCAAACTTTCATAATGGCCATCCCCTTCTAGTTCTTTTTAATTGACGGTACAAAATTCCTGACCATTCGCCGCTTTCTTCATCGCCCCTGTTTGTCTGTGATCCTGTTTTCGCCGTTTTTGAATCGCTTGCACCAGCTGAAACTGAATGACTTGTTCGCCCACTCATTGCCCTTTGTTTATTAAACTACCTTATATGGAAATTAAGTAGATTCCGCAATGTGATGGCAAAACTTTCCGAAAGTGAGAATTTCTAATTTTTAAACGGGCTTCATATTTCGCAATTTAACTGCTGACTACTGTTGCCGTAAACTTGTTTGTTTAGCCATTCATTTCCAAATGACGTCGAATTTCAGATTTATGTCATTTGAATATTAATAGATGTTTGTCCGCATTTAATTTGATGAAATAACCCTTCAATTTATTTCAACATTTGTTTATATGTAAACATAATACGAAAATTTCGGCGTGCGTCGATATTGCTTTGCCATGGTTATTAAAGGGCACATAGTTTGTTTTTTATGAACCAAGTAACTAATGTGCTATCATACAAATTTATACATTTCAGGTGGTATGAAAGTGTATTGTGACTATGGCTCAAGAGCAGGTCTTCACCAAAAAATAACTTTAGAAATAAGAAATTTAGATTTGGATGCAGAGAGCAATATTTTACACACAGAGTCTTCAAAATATCTTGAAAACAGTGAATTGGTTTATTTGGTAGAGCGTTTGAAGACATGCACAGTCGATGTGAGTATAACATTTATTTATTTCGTGTGTCATAATTTTTTATACGGTTATTTGTTTTCAAGGTGCCGAATTCCTCTTTATCCAAAACTATCAGATCGAATCATGTTCTGTTTTTTACTTTTCACAGGGCCCATCAAGATTGCTGGAAAAATATATTTTTGTCATATTTTTAATACAGGAAAATAACATCATGGTAATCCCCTTTGTATTTATTAGCTCTTTTTTTAGGAAAATATGTTTGTACGTATCGATCTACATATATTTTATATATATTTATATACCATACACGTATTGAATATTTAAGGCTATAAGCTTCTAAATGTCACTTGAATACAAAATATACGATTGTATTAATTATGACTAATGTTTATGTATAATGTAAAAATGAGACAAGTCTTGCAAAAAGTTTGGAGAGATATTGCACATCGCTTTATTAGCAGAGCAAGGCGCCGGCTTGTTCAGGCATGCTCTAAATTAAATTCATTAAAGCCTGGCTTGGATTTAAAAAATACAGAGCACGATTAGTACGCTTTTCCTGGAGGCCAGTCCGTATGTTATCTAAAATGAATATTATTGTAATAAACCCGGCGTAGTAAATGCGTCAATAGTGCTGCTTCAAGTTTAAATATCAACCGGCTATGTCAAGAGTCATAAAAGAAGGTTTAAGATGTTTTTATATTTTGTTTATGCACGAATCGATTAAAGGGGCTACACTGAGGTCTGACAGGTAATTTGGTGTCCAAAAAAAATGTAAACAAATTTCCTCAAAAATCACAATATTCCCAGCAAACACCCGACGTTGACCCAACGTTGGATCAACGTTGAATTTTGGTCGCGACGTCGGTGACCTTCATACAACGTCAAATCGACGTTGAATCCCCGACGTCTAACAGACGTTGCATTTAGACGTCGACTCGACGTCGGGTTTTGGTCGGTAATCTGACAATAGGTAAATTTAATTTATGAAACCAATATATATATAAATGAAAGCATAAACAGCGAGAATTTTAAGTTTAAGTTTAGAAAGGGAACATTATATATTTATTTTCTCCATCAAAACAACAGTATCACGTGGTGGCTAACGTACGATATTCGATAGGTGGCGCTCTGTAAACGGATAGTCGCAGATCAGTATGAAATATATTTGCTCTATTTTCGTTTAAATAATATCTTATCTCCTCGAATTAGTCTAAGAAGTGTTTATATAATTTACAATGAAGTTGTTATCATTTTTGAGGGCTTCATTTTATAGTGGTTAATTATTTAGTAAATTCGAATTTGCGACTTATCGGATTTGAAATTCAATTGTATTGGCGGACAAAAAACGACGGGTTGACAGACAAAGTTGTGTATTCCAAACAAAAGAAAAAGGTAGGCAAACATTATATATTGTTTTTCAATGCTAATTTACCGCATGTTTGCATGGATTCGATGGTTATTTGATCATTGAAATGTTTGACTGGTAAAAACTAAATGTCACGTGATTTCGCGAGATTAATATTTTGTTTCCACGTAAGAACACTTTATCATTTGCTATAGAACAGTCTGTATAATCGGATCATTTTTTCCCACACTATATCGCCATGCCAAATAAATGCACAATCAATGGTAGGAAATATCCTAGCAATTGAAATCAATAAAAAGTTAAATTCAGTACGTAAGACTCTTATTATTCAAATGCTGGTAAATAAAATTTCCTCTTATTTCTTATCAACATAAATTTCACTTATATGAGGGGCCAGTCATTTACACATGTATCAGATGCAGTTTGATTTTGATATCTGTGTAGTTGTTAAACTACTCGTTGTTAATTGTAGTACTTTACCCATACTGTAAGCATACCATGTGTTTCTTATATTATGGTAATGATTCATGGCATTTGATACGTGTAAATGATACGACTTTTGTAAGATATATCTGGAAGCACATTGTATTTGACTAGCTATCTTTTTATTAATGTAATCAAACAACATATTATCAATCAGAAAACACATTATCATAGTTATAAATCAATAAAAGTAATAGTTTGTTAATTAGCCTGCTTATCAACAAGTTGTATGCTCGTATCATAAAACGTTTTAACACTAAGCCAGTCTGTCCTATATACACTTAGCAGACCAGATCATGCTGGGCAGAGATGATATCTATAGAAATGACAGTAACATGTGAATTTCTTTGATGTTGTATGAGCATTCGTACAAAGTACTTTGAATAATAGAATATAAAAAATAACAATATCAATTTTTGCGGGAATAGAATTAATTTGGTATTTGTTATATCAGTTTTTCATGCGCTTATGAGTTTACTTAGATTAATAGTAATTTGATTTTGCCTATTGTATTAGACAAACATCCTTTCACGGTTCACCACATGGTTAAATTCTAAAACGATTATATTTCGTCTTTCAGATTGTGAAAAGTATGATAATTCAACATGTGTCAAAAGTTCATGAGGAAGATGAAAATATTTAGAGGAAAAGAAAAATGAAAACCTACCAAGATTTTGTGACAGGTATATTTCAAAATATTATAGAAAAAACAGTGATCTTATTACCCTTGATTTTATAATGAAATTCTTCACGAAGCCATTTTTATCAAAATTAATAGATATATACAGTAGTTACACGAAACTACATGGTTTAAACTAAATTAAAAATAATAAGTGCATGTATCTTTTTAAGTAGTTGGAGAGTTTTGTTAGAATTTCGTTTAATTATAATATGTAAAAGTGATTTATTTCTTGCACTTGTAACTGATTATTTTATTTTTTTTATAATTTCAGAAAGTGTGATGAGATCTCAGGTTGGAGACGGTAATGATACGCTTAAAGTATGCCCCAGATCGACATAGTGGAGGAGGACGAAAGAAGCTAGAATACTAATGAAGATACATGAACATTGCTATTTATAGTTATAACAAAATATTCAGAATATTGTTCCATTTAACATTCAGATCTAGATTCAGTTATAAAATACAAAGACAAATATACATTTAGTGAGTTGGATAGATGATTGAAAAATCCCAAACTCAGAGTGATCAGTTCAGTGGTGATATAAGAAAAAACACATACATGGATGTTTGCTATATAAAATGTCAGTGTAAATATTCAAGAAGGATTTTGTTTAACATGCTTAATTAATACATGAAGCGTTATTAAAGTACATACCATCAAGTTAAATAGTTTCAAAAAATATTATGTAAATCTTGCATTTGTTATATAGTACCACATTTCTTGTTTTGTACTTGTGATTCCGAGTATAAAATAAATTGCTAAAATCATAAGAATGCTTATTTTTAACCCTATTAAAGAGCTTTAATTAAAATGAAAAAAAATCATATTCCAAAAGTTTTGAATGAGGTTAAATCATGGTTAGAAAATTTGGTCAGATAAGGTTGGCATATGGTCAGATAATGGTCAGAAAAGGTTGGATTATGGTCAGAAAAAGGTTTGATTATGTCCAAATAATGGTCAGAAAAGGTTGGATTATGGTCAGATAATGGTCAGAAACGGTTGGATTATGATCAGAAAAGGTTGGATAAAGGTCATTTTATGACGTTGTATAGACGTCGGTTTCTGACGTCTAAAAAACTTTCAAATCCAACCTTCTGCCAACGTTTACCCAACGTCAGGGTCTAACGTCAGTACAACGTTGGTACAACGTCTTTTGTTTGCTGGGTTATAACTAAAATAACAAAAACTTACATTTAACCAACCCTCTAACAACAATTATGCTAGAAAATGCATATTCACATTAGCTTTTAATGCAAAAATGAAAGTTGGGTTTCCCAGACATGTACAGAAGTTACCCACAATTCATCGGGTATGACTAAAACACGCAACGGACATTTTTGGAACAACAGTAAACGGGGGTAAAAGAGTCTATTGATTTTTTCTCAACACTCTTACCTGTCATGTTTATATAACTTGAGTATAACGAAGAAAAACTGTATAAAAGATAATCAAGGTAGCAATTCCAATGTCTTGAGAAATCAAACGCCAGCGAAGCGGACATTTTCTAGACAAAACGGAGAGATATTATATATATGCATTCGGACCTGCCTCGGCTATTAGCTATAATATTAACCTCGGAAACAATACGGATTGAAAGTAGTTCTACCACGTGGTTTCAGATGTAAACAGAAACAGAGATAATGTGAAACGAATGTATATATTTGACATCAAATGCCTGTTCCGGTACTCTTTTGTTGAAAATATGTCTGACAACAATTTGTAGTTTAAATATGCCCACTGATGTTCAATTTTAAACATATCCGACGAAATGTCAACAGGTTGGTTTTTTGTACTTTCGGTTTCTACATCCATAATAATAAATATATAATTAATGAATTGTTTGCTTTTGTACCTATGATATCACTTATTTTAGGTGAACTTTTACTACATATATTGGAAATAAACTTGTCAACAACTCCCAGCATTAAATTACTATTTGTTTACATGTTTAGTTTCTTAGCGTAGGTTAGACCGAAATACCGCATCCGTTCTGTGTATTCATACTATTGTGTTCGAGGTCCTTATCCGAAGACTGACGGAAAGGGCCGAGTAGTTGCGATTGTATATATATGTACAATTATTTTCATTGACGTTTCAATTTCAATATTCTAAGGCATACATATTGCATCGGTGATATTTATACTATAACGAGCACAGTGTAATCACACTAATAAATGTATTTAACGCTATCTAAAACGTATTTAAATCAAATACAGTTAATGACATCTCTCATTTGATTTGATCGTTTGTTTTTGGGATGGAGTGGGTGTTACGTCACACAAAACTGTGTAGGTCATTTTGGCGACTCTTCAGTTTTACTGGTGGAGTAAGAACTCAAGTGCCCCCTGTGCAAAATTGTTTCTGGCACAAACGGGCATCGGTGTATGTAATGAGTGACGTTTCGTAGGCTATCTTGATAGGATCGTACATTCACGTTTCACACACAATTACATCATATTCATACCATAGGCAAAATTAAATGCACGTTCCCTGTTGTAGCAATATGAAACCCCAGAAAAAACCTATGAACCAGCTTCTGAATGTGGCATTTCTATCGTTATTCCACAAGAAACACCCCCCCCAAAAAAAAAAAAGAAAAAAAAAAGAAAAAAGAATGAGTACATCAATGGGCATGCTCTGGAGTGTTGGGAACTATTACCTGCACTCCAGTTACGCACTATG